TAAAAAAATAAATATAATTAGGTCAAACTGGAGGCCTGTATACAAATGAAACATCGAGCATATCTTATGAGTGATGTACGTAATGTTTATCTTCGATAGATGGGTCTGTTGAATATCATTATCAATTCGTGACACATTGTGTTATCGTATCAGTTTCTTCTTGGATATTATGACTAAGCAATGAATCTTCCATCTTTCGTTAGAAAATATGTACATTTTTTTTTTTTTGTAATATTGAGTTGATATTATAGCATAAAATATATATGAAATTAATTAATTATTGAGATCTTGGTAGTCTCAATTAATCAAATAATTTATTATAAAATTATCCAAATTTTCGCCACTTCAGACACCTTCAGGGATGTAATCGTATTTTACAATATTTTGTTAATTTTCATTTGCATAAAGCGGTACATAGTCTTGCACACTTAGTCTTATACACACAGAATAAGAATTGGCACAACTTTATACAAATTACAATAAATTATAATTAATTGAGACTCTCTAAAACTTCGTGAATGATTTTATCTTATTGTAGCCTACAATTTTCTTATCATAGAACATTCTCAGAAATAGGGTGTTTTCTGATTACATTAATTAATTTAACGAGGTACTAAAAACTCATAAATACCCATTTTTACACTTGAATCGTAAGATAATTTGTTCACAAAATCAAGAAAAATTGTAGCCTACAAAAACATTGGGCCGTTTAGCCTTTATAATCTCGTTATGTTGTCATTTTAAGTGTGTAGGTCTCGCCTCCTGTCCCGAAACTTAAATATTAGAATTTACAAGACCATTATCCTTCTTATGGTCCTTTATGGATGCGAAACGTGGCTGCTTACATCAAGGAGTGAGTAACGTCTTAAGGCTTTTGAAAATAAAGTATTGCGCAAAATATTCGGACCGAAAAAGGACGAGTCAACCGGAAAATTTAGGCGGTTACACAACGCTGAATTGCGTGAACTGTATCTAGTTTATATAATTCAGATGATTAACTTAGGGCGAATAAAATGGGCATGTAAAATCACTGGGCTTAGTGACGAAAGAATTCCTAAAAAATTAATATGCGCTGTACCGCCTGGCAAGCGTCCGAGGGGTAGACCAAAGTTAAGCTGGGAAGATTGCGTTAAGGCTTATTTGGCGGGGTTGGGTTTAGATGGATTCCAGTGGATGGAAGAATGTGGACATCGATTAGTGGTATCGGCATCGAACCTTCGGGTTCGCTAAGCCTTATTATTATTACCTTTTTTTCTCGACTTTGGATACAGTTGGCATAGACCACATACAAAATATTTACTCCTTACTGTTGGTGACGTGTTATTAGACAGATTATTTATTATGTATGATAATCAAGCATAATAGAGACTTTATTAATTGAGACTAATCAAGTGGGCCTTTGTTATACATGTATCAATACAAGGTTAGATCCATATCTCTCTATATAAGGCAATGAAACACCTGCCCCATCTATGCAACTTAAAGAATCGTTTGAGAACTAATTCATTTCTACATCATCATGCACCACATTCTATCTCGTAAGGGTCGAAATTATTTTTAATAATTTTTATTTCTAAAGCCTCTTGTTGAAAATGTATTAAAAATACGTATTTTTTCATTATCATATTTCATATCGATTTTGTTTCAAACTGATTATGACATCGATAAATGACTAGAGAGGGGTTCTGAAATAAATAAGTAATAAAAAAAAAATAGCTTAGATAATCTAAACAAATTCTGTATTTTTTCATTCTATAATACCGAGTTAATTAAAAGATATTTTAAAGAAGTGAAAAATAAAATACATTATAACTGTGTCATCCTAACGCAAATTTATCGTCAATAACTTTACAAATTTCTTGAAAAATTATATAAATCAGGAACTTTTGACTTAATAAGCTGAAACTGAAGCTTGTCTCGACATTAACTCTTAAATCATCAGATAATTTTATCACAATATTGTCAAAAAAAAGGTGGCCTACAAAAAAATTGAAGCATTTGGCGTGAGCTCCAGCCCTAAAATGTTAAAATAACGAGATTATATAGGTGAAACGGCCCAATATTTTCCAAGGCCACCTTTTTTTCTGGATTTTGTGATCAAATAATCTTAAGATCCAAGTGGAAAGCAAATGGGTATTTATAAGTTTTTATTACCTAATTAAATAGACAAAGTTTACCGATCTCCAGATTGAAAACACCACAATTCCAAGAATTTTCTTAAACAAAATGTTTCTAGGTCACGATGAGTTGAAGCTTTTCACGGAGTTTCAGACGGATGTTAATAATTTGATAAAAAGGGTCTGTACCACGGACTATTTGGTTATAAGTCTTGGAAATAATAAAATAAACTACACAATGAGCCATTAAGTCTAGTCCACGCTTGTAGACACATTGTGCAATTTGTTTATTGACGCATTATAAAGCGTCACGAAACATTGCCTGTCGAACTTCTTCTGAGATCTCGAAGTCAGTTATTTCGATCTAACTTCCACACCTTAGTTTTTGTCAAGTTTTTCTCGTCTCTTCATCACATTGATACGTCTGAGATAAGTGACTGCGTGTTCCTCGTTGTAATTTTAAGAGTTGTGAAACAAGCCATTGCTTCTTTTATTGCTAGGTCGTTTGGGAGTTTAAGTTGTATGAGAGATTTATATATGTTTTCTCTCAATCTTAGCTTTTAGTGTTTTTTGTTCCTCGGTTTTAACAATTGTCTTTATCATACGTTGTTCAGATGTGTAAGGTACAGTTGGATCTAGTCGGATTCAGGATTTAGTTTTGGATGGGGCTTCAACTCGAAAGATTTTAAAAAAATATATATAACGACAATTACTTTGGAAGTAAAAGAGAGAAACTAACTACCTATAATTTTATTTTTATTTTTTATTATATTGTAGCACTAAAATTGGTTACCTATAAAACTTATTTAGCATTTCTTTCCAATTTTATATAGTTATAAGTATGTTGTTGTTTTTTTTACCAATATTATAATATTGTAACCCTTGTACCCATCTGCTTTCCTTAATATACCCTCCAAAACTATGTATATATTCATTTTATTACTTAGATTGTAGTTACTCTTTATTATAATAGGTCATCTGGCCAGGTTTATTGTCAATTGGTTTAAACAATATTGTTATTCTCAAGGGACCTCGTCCCAGAATAAAGATTATTTTCTATTTCTATGTGAAATAGAGTTTTAAGTGATTCTTTAAGTACTATTAAATGTAATTACACCAACAGTAATACTTTTAGAGGTAATTATTAATTTTTTTTTTCATATGACATGGTTATATTTTACCGTTTTGGGGGGCCCCTGAAGCCCTCCCCTCTTCCGTAGATCCGCCTGTGGGTCTAGTTGTAGCAATAGAGGATCATCCTCTTCTAGAACATCACCTTCATCCTTACCAGCAAGATCACAATGACAGGGTGTACAATGAACATTGACATGTATACCCTTTGAATGAAGATCTTGAAGAAGTCTTCAACAAGCAAGTATAGCTGAAGATGAGCTATCTTTTTCATTGGTTACTGCTTGTATTATTGCTTGCGAATCCTCAAATATTTTTAAAGCAAGGAGAAAACATTAATTTTGATGAACGGGCGAGTCTTTCGCAGAAGAATATATTTTGAGGTATCATATATTACAGACAATAAATCTGGAAGATGTCATGGGTTTTCTGAATTTCAACTGACACACACGTCACCTGACTTTGAAGAATTACATCAAATGTTTATTAATATTATAAATGTATATAAAACAATAGATACTCAATTCAACAGACCATAAATTCTTTTAATTATAATTTTAGCTCTAAAAATTGAAGAATATTGAAAAAGCTGAAGTCATCCCAAAAAATGTTCAAACTATAAACACGATTCTTCTTAATAACAGGGAACCGAAATCATTAATTGATATGTTCGAAGTCACAGAACTTTCGCTAACTTATTTTATACAGTAGGTTTAAAGTTATAAAGACGATTCTACACATTTCACAAAAAAAAAAATGTTTGTGGGTGAAGCACAGACGGATTTATCCGTATTTATCGGGTTGAAGCTCCTCCCTCCCCCCTCCAAAAACAAATTGATAAAATATAACCATGTTTTATGGAAAAAAAACATCTCTTAAAGTATTATTGTTCGTGTAATAACATTTAATAGGACTTCAAGAATCACTCAAACGCCATTTTATATACTAGGTAATTACTTTCTTCTTTTTTTTCCAAAGTAATTATCGTTATATATATGAAATAAAAGCTTTTGGCCTAAAGCCGTTCCCATCCCCCCCCCCTCAAAAAAAATTAAATGCTGGATGCTCTAGTGGGATGAAGTGTTAATCTACTAGATTTACATCAGAATATTTTGATTTAAAATTTGATTTTAATTTAACTTTTATTTACTTCTTCTCTTAATTGGCTCGATCAGGGGCTAACTTGACGGATTCAGCAGTCTTTCTAAGGCTTCCGTAAGCTTTCTTTGCAACCTTACTTTCTTTCAAACTTGCTCTTATATGAAATATATTGTAAAGGAAAGTATTGCTATTTTCAATTTAATTTAGTTTTGTAAAATGATTCTAAAGAAATTGATTAGAAAAGCAAAATAAATTGAAATTTCGAACAAAACCATCCTGCAAGTTTTCGTTCTGTCTTGAAAAACCGACAACAGATAGATTGGTCACTATCCTTAGCTTAAAGAATTACTGTAAATGCGTCTAAAACATCAATTAATTATAAGAATTAGATTAAAGAATCATCCTAAAATAATAAACATAAAAATAATAATTATATTCTGTAAATGAAAATCATATACCATAGGAAAACATCTTAAGTATACAATTGAATGAAAATGTACTTTATGTTTCTAATACATTTTATGTATTTTTTTTCGACATTTTTATTCTTTAAATTAAAAAAAAAAATCAGTTTTCAGATTATATGAATTTCTGCAGAACTCCTTTCTTCTCGTTTATATCTCAGATAATTTAGGTTCCAATTTATAATATGTTTATTAAAATACTGTTCTAGAATTATTTTTCCTCACACCTGTTTAATAAGATAATTCTAATCATGAACATATAAAACAATTTAGTTTGCTTTTACACTAAACACGAGATAAAACAATCAATTTTTTAACCCACATTTCAAATTATCAATAGTTAACCTTTCCCCCGCCAGGTGCACCACCGGTCTTTGCTGAATTTCACTCGCTTCCAGTTAAAAGTGGGCGTGTTGCTGCCCAGTGAACTCTCTGTGGATCTGTTTACGTTGGGTTTCTCTCTATAACAAGTCGAATTTATTCATTATATTTACAAATGTCGTGCCTTAAATTATTCAGTTGAGTTTAAATTATACGTGGGCCGAATTTCGAACGAGTTACTATTAATCAAGGCTGGATAGAAAAACTTTGAAACTGTGAGTACAAGGTTATATTGATCTTATAGTTAAATTGTCCGAAATTGAGGTCATAAGATGTTCTCCTTATAAATTGCCTAAAGATCAAAAAAATATTATTATCTCTAATGAACTATTTTCGAGTTATCGTAATCTTGTCAATAAAATCAATTTTATCGATTTAAGAGTTTACGATCCCCGGCGCCTTGTTTCTGTTTCTGTCTGGCCTATGAGTCATTGGTATTATTAAATTGTTGAAATGCATTATGCATTCGTCTAATGATTTGCATTTTTTACATATGTTACAAAGTCCCATTACTGACTTTTCGCACATAATTTATAGTTCAAATGAATATTTCTTCTGTCTCATGTTTACTTCTGTATGATTAAGTAAATAAACCTAAGAATTACTTTTTAAATATATATTTAATTTTTTTATAATATATTAATTGTATTTTATGTTTTTGTTAACAGACCTCTTCAACTACTAAAACTTCAACCATGACTACGGCTGCGAAGCTATATGGAAAAGATCTCACTGAATATGATGAAATTGACGTAGACCAATTACTATCCCAGCTCTCTCCAGAAGAGATCAGTATGCTAGTCAAAGAAGTCGATCCTGACGTAAGTATTGTGTATCAGCTAGTGTTATATTTTTTTTAAATCAATATTTAATGAAAACAGAAAGTAAGATATCCATATTCTAAAATCAAAAATGTATTTAACTTATTATTGGAGTTCTGGCAATGGCCAGATTCTCCACTCACGACATGAGTGTATGTGGCTAAAGCACTCTTGCTCAATCTCCACTGGGTTTAGCCCTAGTGACCCGGTTGAGAGAGGAGTGCAGGGAACTCCTGGAGTCATACTTTTCCCTCCAAAGTTGGAGGGATAAGTCTGGTTTGAAGTTCTCTTGCCAAATTGTAGATATTGTATATAGGTGTTCTTTTTATTTATTTATTTTTAGGTTATTTTATTCTTATTTATTGTATATGTATTATTTTTCTGTATAATTTATTTTATTTATTGTACATATAGTGTGAATGTGATCTGTGAACTCTATTATAAATGTCCTATAGACAGATTGTAATATTTTTCAATAAATAAGTTTAAAAAAACAAAAAAATTATTACAATTTATGTTAGCTTTATATTATTAAATTGTATATTTAACTTTTTTTTTCAATGACCAGAAGTCAAAAAAGTTTTAGTATTACTTTACGTTTTGTAGTTTAGTGGGTCTTCAATTAATTGTCGACGACACAATTTTCACACAAATATATATTTTAAAATAGTGATTTTACAGTAATTTTTGTAAAATGTTATGCTCATCAAAGAAATGTATGATTTTTAAAAATTAAAGCTTAGACGTAAAACTTGAAAAATTTCGCAAAAAAACAATATTACTAATATTTGTGGTATTTTGTCTCAAACAGGCCGAAAACTTTAATGAATGAATGATAAAATAATTTTCTTCTAGGACTAAAGTCCCTTAAGAATAATGATAATATGGTACAAAACATTGGTCCATTATTCTGGTTTAACAGAATACAAAGACGTCAATTGAATGTTAATTTCAGTTGCTATCACAATCATACCTGAACAACAATAGTAAACACTTTAGCACTAGTGCATTCTATATAGTTTACATCTATACAAAGAAAATGTAAATAAATATAATGAAACGTGTCGATTAATTGTTAGTGAACAGCAGTAATTACAGAATCCAATAAGTATTACATAGATACGGAAGTTTGAAAATGAAGTAGGCGGTGGAATAGGAGTTGTTTGAAGAAATTTAAGGAGGAGGATTGCCGTATGGTGATAGGTAAAGAATTCCAGAGGGAGTTAGTACAAATGACAAAGGATTTGCCTGAAGGATGTAGTTTTATGAGAAGAGATATATAAATCAATAGGTTGAAATTTGGTATTAAGAGAGTGGATAGAGGAATGTAGAGTGAGGAGTTCTATGATATAGGGAGGATTTTTGGTTCTTAGGACCTGGAAAATGAAAACACCAAGAAGGGAATTGTTGTCAGGAAGTAGCAGAGAGCCAATTCAGCTCGAAATACCACTGAGGAACACGAGAACACCTGGGAATTCCACAGATGAATCCTATGAAACAGTTCATAAGTCTCTTCAATTTCACCTCCAGTCCTTCAGGCAGCCCTTCATACGCTAAGCAACCGTAGTCGAAGTGGGTGGAAGTGGTGAGAGAGGTTACAAGGAGCTGCCTCGTTTTTTGAGGAATAGAATCACTTCGATTTGTAATATGTATGTCTAAGATTTAGACCTTGATCCTAGAAAGAATTATTTAAAAATTTGCCAGGAAAAAAATGTTCTACACGATAATCAAAATGATTTGAGATAAGATTATTAACACTTAAAGGAAAAGGACTAATAAAGAACTACTAACTGAAACTGGTAAGTTAATATCTCATGATATGAAGGCAAGGAGATGAAGATGGGCAGGCTATTCGTCAGGAAGCCTCTACACAACAATGAATGCCTCAAGAGTTACAAGAGACCAAGTGGGAGGCCAAAAACCAGACGGATAGATAAACTCAACAAAAATACTGCAGAGATTCAAACTGGAAAGCAATAGCTAAAGTGGAGAAGGCTGGTTCAAGCGGTTAAATATCTTAACAATCCTAAAAAATCGTTCAACCCAACATATATGTACTGTTGCCTACCTTATCAGATTTCTTCACTTCATGTAACGCCATGATGTTTTTTGACGAGTACAGTTTTTTATACAGGTGATAAGTACAGCTTTTCTCCTGGCATTAGTTAATACTGAACTGAGAAATACCGTTAAAGTTTTCTTGTAACCGTAATAAGTAAAGAAAAACATTCAATAGAATAATGTTATCAATATAAGAATCAAAAGAAATAGGTGTTGCTATTTCTATGACAGCGACATGGGTCCATATACTCAATAGTAAAATTGTCAGTGGTAATTTGTATTTTAGAAAATTCCAGGTCATTTTCTTTTGAACATTTAATCTGTGTTAAGTGATTTTCTTGTTCTAAACAATTTTATTATGTTAATCCTGACATTCGTAACTATTTCTTCATTAATGTTTTGCTACTTTCTCACCAAAATTGTGCCAATGAATCGAAAACTTGTGTGGATTTTATTTTTCTCATTTATTTTATATATTTTTATTTTATTTTTTTTAAGGATACCCTTCTCCCACCATCCCAAAGATGTTCCTACGAATGTCAGAAATCTCCAACTGGACCTTTGGATAGAAAAAAGTTAATAGAGCACATTAACAAACAAGCTTTGGAAACGCCTGACGAACCAGAATTGAAACCATACGTCCCTGGAACCATTCGTGGGAAAAAGGTAGTAAATCTTGATATAAACCTATTCAAGTTTATAATAAAAGTTAAATTTTCTGGTTTGATATGTTTATTTATTTAAATTGATATATATATTTATACAATTTCAGTGGATTCCACCCCCACCTCCGCTCAAAATGCAAGAAGCTGAAGAGCAAATAGCCATTGACCTCGGTGATGAATACGAGCAGGCTCTAAGCGATGCTACACAAGAGGAGATTATTGATCTCGCAGGTGTTTACTGAAATTTGAGATAATATAATATTTATTATAGCTTTATATCATATCTATCTATATCTATATATCACTTAGCCTATTGAAAATAACACATATAATGAAAAATGAATACACTGAGATATCACTGATTAACCTTTTTCACAATATCTTTCCTCTATGAAATCTCTTCTTTATTTATAATTACAGTCCATGTCGAGACTTTTCCAGAATGTTCTCCATTTCTCTCAATTATTTTTTAATGATATTTATATGTTTTGTACATTCATTATTTCTATAACTTAACATTATAAAAAACTATTATAAAATTTAATTAAGTGTTATAAACAATTTTGGAAGCGAAGTTGGTTGCGGCGTTCTGTCAAATAAATAACAAAGTAAAAATAAATATATTATATTTATTTGTGTCGACATTTCAGGGCTGTTCTCACGAAATGTGCTGTAATACTGACCTACGGTCTATGACAGTCAATTATTACTCCACTTTAAAATAAATGTTACAAACAATTAAATTTCATTAAACATAGGTAAGGCATTGAGCTCCTATTCTCAAGGACCCAGTTTCGACTCTGCTTGAGACAGATAATTATTTATTATGTTTCATTAGCCTTGGATCAATCCTGTGGTCAGGAGATCTTCCTTGCTCATACCTAGCCTCCGTAAAGTGTGTATCCTTAATTAATCGATTGATTAAAGTGAAAAAACCTGGCTGTCAAGTATTATCCTGGCCCTATCTCCTCCCTGCATAACCCAAGGCCTAAAAACAGTACTTTCTTACAAAATATTGAACCCAAGGGTTATAATCAAGTACAGATTTTTATTTTTTTTACAAATATAATGTCATCACAATATATTGTAACATCCCTCTTATATTTTAATAATAATAATATAACTCAGAAGATCACTTAATACCGTTGGGATACTTCCTAAATAAATAAGAGGTTATTAAATAATAAACAAAATTATAAGACTATAATATATTTATTTATCTCGGGTGTGGGTTACTGACAATCAGATCAACTCAGATAAACTAAAATTAACTATACTAAACACTGTTTGATTTTAAAATAAAATCAAATATGGATTGGCAATCTAATCTTTTTCTATGTTATATGTTTCTTCCTTTGTGACACTGAACTCATTTGTCTTCAAACACTTTCCCATGTTCTGCCAAACAACTCTTCCAAATTGCTAAACACTATTCTATTACTGGGTTTTTTCCCACTGGAGCCAGGATCACTTCTTCTATCCTCTCTTCATTGCGGCCACACAACAACTGTTTGCCAAAACCAAAAGCTTTTTCCCTCTCTTTGGGATTTTCCTTCTTGGGAAACTACAGAGCAGCCATTTTTTTCCCTTGCACTTTTAGGACTAGGTTAGCTTGCCTTTTAATTGTTCAACATTGATTTATTAAACCCTTTTTACTCATTCCAATAAAAGTGTACATTACAATATAGATGTTCGACTCTATTATCAATCCTTTTTATAAACCTATCGCTCAAGATAAAAACTAGACCTAGTTTTAATTTTATATTAATTCATTCTATTGATCTGTTATTTTGCGACAGCAATCCTCGGATTCCACTCGATGATGAACCAGGATCAGTACCACGCCTCCTTGCTGAACAAGGGCCAGCCCGTAGGCTTGGGCTGGGACGGTATTACGAAGGCCACCCAGCCTAAAGTTTTCCCGGCTGACCCGCCAAATGACACAGACGTCGACAAGACTCTGCAAATGGTCAAAGATAACAGCCATGAGCTTACCACCCTCAACTGGAACAACATCAAGGTAGTTAATTATCCAGAATCTATTTTTATAAATAGTAATTGTATCTTAAGTTTTATTATTTTCTTTAGTTTTTCAAGAATTTTTGATGAATAAAAACAGCATTAAATTTCCCAGCAGATAGATTAAAAAATCTGGTCACTTAGATCAAAAAATCATCACGCAACTTTCACTTACCACCCTCTTAACAAAAATAAGTATTTTCAGACAAAGCGGAAGTGAAAGTAAAAATTAATGACACTCTATTTATTTATATTTCATTGTTGGTGTTTTTATTTGTATAAGTACCCTTATATATATAAATTTTAATATTTATATCGTTTTAACCTATACAATTAAATATTAAATAATGCCAACACTTGCATTTATGAAAACCGCATATGTATATTTACATAATATTGTCGGAGTCTGTATTATATTAAGCTCATGTTACGTATGGAAGCCTATTCTAATCTTCGCGCTCTCATATCCCATTGGTTCCTTCATTACAATTATTCTTTGTTACAATCTTATTGCTCCTTTAGTTAATTATCAAATCCTTTCATATTTTATATTTAACTATTTTTTGTATTAGAGTTAAATGTGAAATGGTCAATTGTTTCAAAAAAAAAAAAATTGAAGGTACTTTAGAGGTAGCTAATATGAAAAATTAGCCATTTAAGCCCTTTTAGAAAACATCAATGAGAATAAAACCCACATTTTATTTAAAACTGCTTAAATTTACACTGATATAATGAATTTAATTATAATCGTTAGAGCTGTTTTTGAGAAAATAGTAAAAATTTGTTTAGTCCATGATATAATATAAAGTGCCACTTCCGGTTAGCCGATTTTGAAGAAAAAGTTGCTGTAACATATCAAGCATATAAAAACCTTAAATATGCAATTTCAGTTTTGTACGACTTTTCGTTTTTAAACTAGATTGTTAAAACATACACAAACACAGACCATTTTGCAGAACTTGATTGTTTCAGCTCAGGGGACCTCAAAGCATGTATTTCTGTTGAAAACTCAGATTCGAAAATTTTCACGATCGCAATACTTTCTCTTGCTATATATTTCATATATAGGTAAGCGAAAGTAAAAAATCTGTATAATATCTGTTACCTAAAATATTCAATTATTTTATCATAACTCATAATTTTTATGTCTACTAAATATTTTTGGTTTTGGCTCTTAATAGACCAGCTTAGCTGTTGCTAGGTTATTTAATCAATAATATATTTATGTAATTTGTTTATGTTTTTAGAACATATCTGATGAAAAATTCACTACGCTGTTTAGCGCTCTGAAAGAAAATAATCACTTGGAAACTTTAAATCTAGTAAATGTTGGCCTCGCCGATCGACATGGTATCAAACTCGCGGAAGCGTTGGAGAAGAACAGTACTCTCAAAGTCCTCAAGTGAGTTTTTATTGATAATTGATTTATATTATTCTTGTAGAATATTGCCAGTAATCATGGGATGGATCAGGTATCCTGACCACACCTGGATGACACTGCCACACCGATATAGTCCTGTATATACAATATATCCTGATCAGCTGCTTTGTAAAGTTGTACTCATATTATCTTTATTTCATTAATGTTTCTATCTGATAAAAATTATTATAATTTTTTAGTTAATGTAATACTAGGGGTCGAATGAAACAGTTAACTCTTACAATTAAAAGAAAAAATTTAACTTCCACTTAAATTTTTACGTAGTCTTTCCAAGTCATCCAATCACGCTATCCTTCATACATTTCCGAGCTCCTTCAATTCAAATCCTCTATCTATTTCCGCAAAAACCATTCCTGGTCTTCAGATTTGTTCACAAGGGCCCACCAAACCGCTGCTTTTGACAGATCTTTTATTATCCAATCCTCATCCCTATCGAATTCTATCCCTCCCTGTATCCGTCGCTCCAATACCCTCCTCACCTTTTCAACCACCTCTTATCTTAACCGAAGAACTGCCGCAGCCAATTGTAGCTATTTTGGGCTAGCAAAATACTTCAAAAGCAGACACCTCTCCAACAAGACCAAGATTGGCCTATATAAGACCCTGATTCGTCCGGTACTTACGTATGGGTCAGAGACCTGGGCCTTCACTAGAGCCAGTGAGAACCTCCTTCTGGTGTTTGAACAGAAGATATTGAAAAGAATTTTTGGCCCGGTTCGAGAGGGAGACACCTGGTTAACCCTTATCCTGGCAGGTGTCTCTCAGGACACCAGTTTTCTACAAGCCGATTTTCTCAATTTTTCAGCTTCAACACCAATGCTCTGTGGTTTTTTACTATATTTATCATGTTGGCAAAATATCATGCGCTTGGCAACTGTGTTTTATACGGTTTACTTATGGAAAGGCTATTCCTCCTCATGGTGTTCACCAAGATGCCTTTTCACGGAAAGAAGGAAAGTTTACACTATTTTTAGCTAGTTTTTATTTGTTTTGGGGGGTTCTAGGTAGCAAATTCGAATTTCACATATGGTTTTCTATAGAAAATGTCTATTGGAATTGAAAAACAGCTGAAAATGTGTTTACACCAGAAAAAAAAAAAAGGGTGAACTGTAGTTCACCGTGCCAGGTTCATGAGTTGCCATGTAGGGTGAATGAGGTTCACCTTGCCAGGTTTATGTAGAACATAGTAAGTTGACTGTAGTTCACCTTGCCTGGTTCATGTAGAGCATAGTAAGTTGACTGTAGTTCACCTTGCCTGGTTCATGTACTACTGTATTACATGGTGACTTTTATTATTTGGTTAATATTGGTTATTTTTTCTGAAGAATGCTTCGATCTTATCGTTCACGAAACCAATCTATATAGCATGCAGCTATCTGGGACGCCATTGAATGTTGATAAAAATGCCATAAAAGGTTTTATTAGCATTCAATTCCTGATGGGCACAATCGATTTACCAGCCATCACTGATTTCTGGAGTAGACGCTTGAGGCAGCAAACTAGCGCGGACGTTATATCTCTCAAAAAGTTCTTGAAAATTAGACGTTTCATTCATTTCGCCAACAATGAAGATCAGGATGACGACCCTTTCTTCAAAATCCGTCCCATCGCCGAACTTGTCCGTCAAAACTGTATAAACGTACCTCCTGAAAAGAAATATAGTGTGGACGAAATGATGGTGCCTTATAAAGGGTCAAAGGCAGGCAGCAAAAAACAATACATGCCAAAGAAGCCCTGCAAGTGGGGATTTAAGTTATTTGTACGTTCAGGCATCTCCGGCATCGTGTATGATTTCTTTCCATACTGTGGGAGCTCATCTTTCAGGGGAATTGATTTCACGCCAAAAGAAGAAGCAATGTCCTTCTCTGCCCAGATCGTTTTGGCTTTGTGCAAATCTATTCAGGATCCACCATTGAGCACTGTCTTCTGTGATAATTTTTTCACCTCTCTCAGTATGATGGTTTACCTCCGTGAAGAGTTCGGGATTCTGGCATTGGGTACAATAAGAGCCAATCGAACTAGTAAGGCACCTTTATTATCGGGGAAGGAGATAAAGAAGAAGGGAAGGGGATGGTAAGAGGAGTACAGCGACAATAAGAAGACCATTGCACTTATCCAGTGGATGGACTCGAAACCAGTACTACTGACGAGCACCTTCGTTTCAGCCGACCCTGTGGAGAAAATCCTGAGATGGTCAAAAGCAGATCGTGCTAAGGTTGAAGTTGATTGCCCACAGATTGTCAAAGAATACAATAGGCATATGGGAGGTGTGGATCTCTCGGACATGTTGATTTCTCTGTATAATACGCCCTTCAGGTCTCATCGGTGGTACTTGCCACTCTTCGCCCAGCTGTTGGATATCTGCATGGACAATGCGTGGTTGATGTACAGGAGAAACAAGAATGTCCAGAAAGGCTCTGACATGGAGACAAATGATGATACTGGATCCAGCCAAAAAAAAGAACACCAGTACGCTGTCTTTGAAGGATTTCAGAGCTGACATTGCGGAACAGCTCATAAGGAACACCAGAAGGAAAAAAGGTGGTTCCAAATCGCTTTTCATCAAGTCCCTAAAGTTAACAATTAGGTTTGAGAGTTCTTTTACTTATTTAACTACCTAGCAAAGAAACGTTATAGTAACCTGGCATGGTGTACCTCAGTCACTCTGCTGGGTAATTCATGAACCTGGCATGGGTGATTAAAGTACACCAGTTTTTGTTACGACCATAGAAACCATAGAAATGGGCGGATGCCCTATTCAAGTGTTTTTTCAGCATAAGGGAGGGCTAGAATTTGAATTCTGAAAAAAGATTGAGAAAAAAATCATTATTTCTACTTTTGCCTGAAAAAGGGTTAAGGAGGAAGAATCAGGAACTCTCAAGACTGTACTCAGATCCTGATATCATCAAGTGGATCAAGATTGGAAAACTTCGATGAAGGATGAAGGAGGACGAGATCCCTAAGAGAACATTGGCTGAAGAGCTTCATAGCAAGGGAAGAGTGGGTAGGCCAAATGTGAGGTGAAATAACTCCGTCACAGCGGACGCACACAATCTCCTCGGCGGTTAACGGGTTGTTGCGCCAACTATGTATGTTTGTCTTATCCGTTCAGTCTCCATAAAATTGTAAATAGATGTTGTAAATATGTACCTAAATTATTATTAATTGATTTTAAATTTTTTGTCACTTTTTTTTCTTAATTGATAAATTTAGAAGATAACTTATACTTTTTGTATTTATTATGTCTATTTTTTTATTATTCTCTGAGGCTACAAAGCCAACATCTCTATCTCTGTATATTATTCTAAAGGGACCTATCCCAGAATAAATAAAGTAATATTATTATTATTATAAAAGATTTTGTTCAACTTTTACTTTTATTGACACATGCCGTTTCAAAACAGTTATTTTCTTCACTTTTATTTTCAAACCTTATTAATAAAACTTTTTATAAACCATTTACTTCAATAGGTTTTAATGAAAAAAGTAATATACATTTACGTTTTTATTAACAGAAAATATAATCATCAGTATATGTACATAGTTATATAAAACATTATAATATTTTTGTCTATGGATTTAACATAGCAAATATTTACTAGGTATAGAACGAGATATTATGTATTACGTTAATTCAAAAACATTAAAGCTTATAATTTACTAATTAAACAATTCTTATTAACAAATAAAACTTTGTATAATGTTCTCTAAATTAACATTGAAGTATTTTCCAGAATCATTGGAATTTATTAGTTTTCCGCTCTGAGTACTGAGCAGTGTATTAACTATAAAGTTCTATTATTATTAGTAATTTTTTAACTTAAAACTGTTTCAGTAATCTCTGGGTACTATATAATACTATTATTGAACGTAATTTTTACTAATTTTATTTATTTATTTCAGTGTTGAAACCAACTTCTTAACTCCTCAGGTGATACTAAGACTGGTCAAATCACTCCTTGTTCAAAGAAGTTTAGAAGAATTCAGAGGGGCGAACCAAGTAAGAACTGTTTTTTGTTTTTTTTTAAGAAAAATTTGTGGATCACTACTTAATACTTAAAGAATCTCAGTTCAACATTGATCGGTTAACTTCCATTATAGAATACATGACAACTTTCTACAACAGATAGCCATCGATCTGATGGATTGTCTATTATATAGAGGTGTCAACTGAAGAGGTTTATACAGTATATTTTAAAATATCAATTAGTGTCGATGATAATAATTTTGATAAATATGTTTATTAATAGAGTTTCAATGTTAAAAAAGGGATTCATTGGATATTTTTCTAGTTCATGCTGCTATTCTTATTTCTCAAACAACGTCTTCAAATTTCTTTTGCTTTGTGAAACAGTAAAAACATGTTTTTTTCTAATATTGATTATCCATGCTTATGTGTGTAAACAAAAGCATCTTTTTTTGATCACTAGTACATTTCATATTTTTTTACCATGATTTTTTTCTGATAGTCTTATGTTGTGATAATAAAAAACAAGAATAAACTTAAAAATTAATTAATTATTGATATTAATACGTTGTTTTAAATTACAAATCTTAAAAAAGGTCTTACTGTACATTTTAAAATTGTCCCAAGGGAGAGGGGTTCGTATCCGTTAGAAAACAGTGTCCATTTGGGGGAATTTCACTGTATTGTGATACTTATTAAAATTAATATATAATAATGCTATTAATCGCCCTTAACTATTTTAGAGGAGATACGTTCTCGGTAACAAGATAGAAATGGAAATAACAAAATTGGTGGAAGAGAACCCTACGTTGCTCCGCTTGGGGCTCCACTTAGAGTACAATGACGCCAGGCAGAGGATCGCGACTCACCTTCAAAGGAACATCGATAGGAGTAAGTATTCCATGCGTTGTCAAATTTTAATTTATAATGTTAATTAATGCTTCTTTTATTTACACAATTATCTGATTTATATTATCTATTTGATGTTTATGTAACTATAGTTTTTTTTTTTTTTAATTTTTATTATTATATGTAATTTACATTATTACAAGAAATGGGGAAGTAAAATAGTAATAAACTCTTATTATTTTGATGAAAGAGTTGTATTCGTAGGCAATGGACGACAGTAATTGCTGTAATATCGCTTCTTTGAATTCATAGACGATTTTTGAAATATTATTGTTATTATTGGCTGGTGATACAGTACAGTTGATTCTTGACAATTTCATGACAAATAGGAATTGTATGAAGTTTGTTTTGAGATCGTTTATGCAACAAAATCTTTAGAAAAAATTAAGCTTTTCAGTTGACGGAATGACTAAATCCAATTTCAACATTTTTGAGTAGTCCAGAGATAATTCTGGTTGGAACATTTATATTATCTGTACAGACAGTGTGTAAGTTGATTCCAGAGTAGATAATTACAATGTTGAAATATAAAACTGTGAATAAAGGTATACATTTTCCCTCTAGAAATATTATTAAAATTAATAGTCAAAAATGTTGAAATTGGAGTTAGTCATTCTTTCAACTGAAAGGCTCATTTAAAAAAACAAAAAACTTTCATCTTTTCATTATTGTTGTGAAATTATAAAACATTACTTTATTATCATTAATTGTAGATCATATTATAATTGATACATCAAATAATAATTAAAAATAAATGTTATCGCTGATTGAATGTGTTCATATGATATTTTATCCATGTCTTTTTGTTTTTTGGTTTATTATTTTTAATAATAAACTTTTATAATCAACCCAAAAAAAAAATATATCTAAACGCCTGAAACATTTTTTTCTTGTTCTTCTACGATCAGGAAAGTTCTTGTGTACCACAGCTGTAGAACTCGTGAGCAATTTTATTGCATACAACGTATTTCAAAAAGAAAGAATTATTTTGAATCTTCTGTACTAAAATATATGTATAATCATTTTTTTATGTATATTTAATTTAATTATTAATTACCTCCTCATTTTCTTCTAGGTTTGTTTTTTTTTAGTCTGAAGAATAATAGAAATTAAATTTTCGTTATTGTTAGCTATATTTTCATTTTTTTTTTTTAGCTTTTCTTTTTTATTTGCTATAGCCTGTCTAATTTTAATAATAGCTTTATAATTTATACTTTTTATTTGCATACAATTTTTTTTTTTTTTTTTTTTTTTTGTTTTACACTATAACCAGTATTACACCATCATGAAAAGCCTCCCAAGGAATTTCATCCAGAATACATTGAACTACCACCAGCAGATAGCGTATTAGAGCAACTCCTTGCAAAAAAGAAACCTCTTACAGAGAAAACAAAACAGAAAGTAATTGAAAAACTACAGGATATACCTGACGAAGTGGCCGAAGCCTTTGCTGAAGAGGGTATCGGCAATATCCGTAGACGATCTAACGTGTTTCATCCAACTGAAATGAAATCAGAATAACTCTAGAGAGAGGGGAAAAAAGTAGATAAATCAAAAGTAATAATGAAATTTTTCAAAAATTTCGTCCAAAAGTCCTTGTGTATGCGCCTGCGATTCAAATGAATGCTTTGAATCTCGAAATAAGTTTGGCAATGCATTAGTCTTTAGATTAGAGAAGCATAAAACAATCTTTTTTAAAAAAATATGTATTAAAAAAAATAATTTGTTTAAATATTTATAAAGTATGCCAATGATATGATCATAACGAGGGTCTTAGTTCAACTAACTTACCTAATAACTAAGTCCTGAACTTTTGCATGGTTATAAACCTGCTTAAAAGCATGTGATGATTTTTTTGCTTTTGCATTCTTTTGTCCACTTTTTTTTTAGGTTAAGTTTTAAGTGATTTACAAGCCTTTATTTATAGGATAGATTTTTGCACCTTAAAAAGAACAAAATATTATCCTCTTTTATAAATAATTCTAATATAAGTTTTTTTTTTAATTTTATTTATTCTTAAAATTTAGGAGTAATAGTATACATATACAAAGAATGAACTAAAACTAAAATTGTGTAAGAAGGTTTTTTTTTTTCAAAGATTCCAAAATCATAGCCTAGTCACTCGAGTCATAGTTATTCACTGTCAATGTTTTTCCGAATTCCGATTGTGAATGAGTTTGATTTCAAAGACTTGGGGCATTAGTTTCGGAATTTTTCAAAAAAAATATATACTTTATATATATATTATATATCATTATTAGTTGGTTATATTGTTTTGAGTTTCTCCTTCATATGTTATCTATAGAAAACTTTTAGATACTTTGCTAGATGATAAATTAAGCATTATATAGTTCTGAGATAAAATTTATGATTCTATAAAAATAATAATCGATGCACTAAACAAACTTATTGAACAATTTTTTTAATAGTTAAAAATTTTCGTAGCAATCTTTATTTATTAAATTTGACATTTCTTTTAGCCGTTGAGCAAATCGTGAATAAATGATAAGAAATCATGTACAGGTTTATTATGAATTCAGATTTGCCAATTTTTTTTTTTTTTATTAAGAATTTTTTTTTATTATGATGTACATGTTATATAAAATAGGATTGAAGACCTGGAAATAATAGTTAAAATACAAATACTGAAATTCTATAGATATATAGTCCGAATGAACCTATCATGATATAATGAACAGATTTTTGATAAATTTTGGGACTATAAAAAGTCAAGATGGCTATATTAAACTTATGAAGGAAAAGCTCAAAATATTCAATATTACAGAAGAAAATTGTTTAGATGTGGTAATGTAGAGAAAGAAAATTTTTGAATGGAAGATGCTTTGAGTAAAAGGAAAAAATAGAGCAGACAAAATTGGACCGAGCAAAGACAAATCAAGCAATCCGGAAGTATGATCCTTCAAGGCCTGCTAAAAAAAAAATAACTTTTAATAAGATAATTTAATTTTATAATTAATTAAGGCTGCTCACTACAAGAATCGTAACATATTTAAAGATCACAGTGTTCAACAGAAATGACAAAGCTCAATATAATGTTAACATTTTTAGTTATTAAATTTATAAATGAAAAGTACCAAAATATCTGTTGATTAGAGAGGAATTTACATGTATACAAAGTTTAATAAGATAATTACCGTTTGGTTTTTACGGATAAGTTGAAAAGGATTGTTAACTGTGCGGTAAAAGCTATAATAGCTTTTAAACAAATTTATAAATGGACAAAGAGGAATTATAAACAAAAAAAATCAAAATATGTGCCTCATGTAAGTACTAAACATTAGTTGTATTTTCTTAATATGTTGACTGCCGATGACTTAATCAAATTTGAAGGATTTAAATAGTTTCTGATTTCAAAACTTTCAAATGTTTTAATTACCAAGTCATGGTTATTGTTCAAAGTGAAACTTTTTTTTTCAATATATAGAGGTTCAAATGTATAAGGACAAGCAGCACTATCTGTTGGTAAAATAAACAAACAATCTTAACCTTTGCTATGTTACCTCTGCCACACAAATACCAAAACAATTATTGTTAGTTTGAAAGGAGATAGTTAAATTGTGACTTGTTAGGTCGTGGCGGTCGTGAGGCTAGAGCCAGCCTAAGCGTGAAGCGAACAAAGGATGGTTTCAGTATAGCTGGAAGGTCGTAACGGTCTGTTGCTTTATTTTATCTCAGTTGTATGATGAGAATGTTCAACAAACACTCTATGTTGTGTGATTAGAAAATAGTGTTTAAACTCTCTCAAGACAGGACCGATGCTCGCTCAGTGTGTTTCTTCATATTTTTTTTAAATAAACAGCTTGAATTTTTTTATTGTTTTCATTTTTTTTTTTCTGTTTGTGGTAAATGTAAAATTCTCAATAATTGCAGGTCATTCTTAGTTTAGATCAATGTAAATATTTTTCAGCTTTTTTTTTTTGTGTTAAAATCGCTGACACATTTCCACATTACACATATCACTACTCTTTTTTTTCTATATAAGTGAAAGTGATTATTGACAGATGGATATATTGTTGACTGTTATTTTAAAATTATGAGGGTAACAAATAGTCAGGGTTTGTTGTCTATATATGATCTATTAGCCTTGCTGACGTTTCAGCGCAAACATGATGGGTCATCATCAAGGCTAAAAATTAATAAATGACATCAGGATATAAGATATAGATATAAATAAGATAAGATATTGATGGAATGGAAACGAGTAAAGATGGAGTGTGCACATAAGATAAAGGTAATATAAACATAACACTACACTAAGAAATAAAACTAAATAAATAAATAAGAAGTACGCATAAAACAAGGTGAATTTTTTATAATACAAAAAATCTGATTGAGTAGGCACATCACACAACTTATCATACTACTTTAGGTAGAAAAAGTTATTATTGTATAAAGGGGAGTAAAATGAAAAATTATAAAAGGTACAGCATGTTCATTTAAGGGTGTTGCAAACAATTTTTAGTTCAATAAGGGTGTCATGGTAAAAAGAGGTAAGAGAATGGAAAAAAGCTAGTCTAAGAGTTCCCAACCTATTTCTACTTGAGGGCACATTTTTAGGTTACATGGCGAGGGTTACATTCTTTAGGGGCGAGATAGCGGAGGGTTATGCAAAACATGCATTGTCCAGCAACCTGACAAACCTTTATATGATAAAATAATTATGAGTGCGCGTGCCGTTGGTGCGGGACTTTTAACTGTGGCATTAATCCCCCTGGCCTGGAAAAACCCCATATAGGCTAAAAGCTATGGGAAGAGTTGAAAAAAAGAAAAAAGTTATCAAGCAGCGAACACCAATTTGTTTGCGTTTTTCCTCGAGGTTTCATTGTTTGATATTCTTAATAGTGACAAAACAGATACTTATATTTTTTTGTAATATATTTGCATTAGAAATGTATAAAAAATATTTTTAAGAATTATAAATACTAAATATAATGTGATATTTGCACTGAATTTCTTTTGTAAGTTTTTCATCATTTGCAGATAATGATTATAATATGACATTGTGAAACAATAAAATAAAAGACATGCATAAGAACACCTATCTAGTGATTAGATAGGTATCTGAATGTGACGTTACCAACTATGTAACTTTGTTGTCATTCTTGTAAAAAAAAAAACGCTGCAAATTATTTCACAATGGTTTATTATTTCCAAATAATTATACATCTAAAGTAACATTACCTTCCGAGTTACAAAGAAAAAAAAAACAACTATCTCTACTAATAGTGCTTTGATTTCAATGAAACTTCCTTCATTTTTTAGGAAATTTAAATACCTTTGAAATATCTTATCACAATATCAACAAAAAAGTATAAACTTTTCAAGTTATTCGGATTAATTTTACCATCCCTCTTAACTTTTTTTCCAGTTTATTTTCGTTGAAGTATGTTATATAGATAAATTTAAAGGGCTTCGAGAAAATGGCTTTAACGAAGTTTCATTGAAATCTGTACATTCATTTAGGAGCTACAGTCTATAGCAACGCAGGTTTTTCGGCCGCCATTTTGAAAGTAAAATGCGGCTAGTGATGTCAATAAGGAGGATCATCTTTGGGTGACCTCTGATTTTATATCCAAATTTGAAAATAAAAATCGGTCCAGTAGTTTCGGAGAAAATGCGCGGACGGCGGACAGACAAAAAAATGTTTATTCGTTTTTCGAATTCTACGCATCCTGAAACGTGAAACCTCAAATTTTGAGAGGGAGTCAAGTTTTTGGTCGATCACAATGGTTGATTGTTGAAAATAATAAACCAAAATTAATGAAAATAATGATTATTTACAGAAAAAATCATGATTATATTTGCAACTATCATTTAGGTATGTTATTTTAAAAAACTCAAATAACACTACAGAATACAGTTACCGGTAGCCTTGGTGATGGCATATAGGATATGGCGGGGTCAATTTAGCTCCTGGGAGCGTGACTTCACGTGGACATACTGGTATATTTAGACTAAAAATTGTTGGCAACATTCTTAAATAAATATGCCGTAACTTCTATTATTTTCACTCCCTTTATACAAAAATCCTTTTTTATACTGAAAGTAGGATGGCGAGTTGTGTGATGTGCGCACTGCATTTTTTGTATCATAAAAAATTCAATTCATTTATTCTTAAACTTGTTTTATGCGCACTTCTTATTTATATATTTGTCCTATTATGTTTATATTACCGTTATCTTATATGTACATTCCATCTTGTCTTGACTTATTTATATACTTCTATCTATATCTTATATTTCTGATATAATTTTTTTTTAATTTAGCCCTAAGGATGACCGACACAGTTGACTCGGAATGTCGACAAGTCCAATAAATCATATATAGAATGCAAATGTTGACTATTTTTCATTCTCATAAATATAAACAATTATTCTTAATGTTTTCTGTTATCTGAGTTGGAAATATTACTTATACTACGCTAGCAATAATGTAATTGTTGTTGTGATTGTTGTTATATAGTAAGGAAGGACCTCTCGCTGAGACTTCAGTTCAGGTTCTTTAACAATCCCCTGCGACAGCGAGAACAGATCAAGTAGTGTTCTAAGTGTCCTCGTCGCGGCAATTATATTTTTATACATTTAAGGTACTTTACTTGTCGCGTGTTCATCTTACTTGTATCTCATTAATAAAAACTTAAAATCATAATTACTTCATCATCCGATTTTTTTGCCTTTCCTACTTTTATTTGCTTCAACAGCAATAGTCCTCGGTACAGAACCCTTTTTATCAAATTATCAACATCCGCCTGAAACTTCGTTGATGGCTTCATCTTATAATAAATTACAAATTTTTATCTACGAATATTTTCAGAAATGGGGAATTTTCTTATTAAATTGATTAATTTAATGAGATATTAACAACTTATAAGTACCCATTTGCTTTCCACTTGAATTGTAAGATAATTTTATCACAAAATCGATAAAAAAAGGTGTCCTACTAAAATTTGGCCTATATAACCTGGTTATTTTGACATGCTAAACAGCCCAATATATAGGCCACCTTTTTTCTTGATTTTATGACCAAATTATCTTACGATGCAAATGGATGTTCATGAGTTTTTGCAATTAAATAGACAAAGTTTACCAATCTCCAGATTCAAAATACCCCGATTCTGAGAATTATCCTAAATAATAAAGTTATAGGTTAGGATGAGATGAAGCTATTCTCCAAGTTTTAGCTGGATTTTAATAATTTGATAAAAAAAAAAAGTCTGTATCAAGAACTATAAAGTTGTTTTGTTTTTCTTATTAACCACTCATAAATTTAACAAAAATAATTTGTTAACGCTAGCTTTCTTGGTTATTTTGTTGTAATATATTAAAATCATTATTATTTTATATAATGACAGTTATCTAAAATTTAAATCCTGCTTTTGAGTATTGCTTAAAGTTTATTAACATTACTTTTTATTAAATAATATCTTAGGACTTACTTGCTTCTTCGTAAACTTTTCAATAATTACAAATGTTGACGACGTTTGCTCAGTTTTGATTCTTTTTTTTTTAGTGATGTTATTCTTTCTTTCGGCTTTCTTTTCTTATTTCTTGTTTACCGAAGTATTTAACCTCAAAGGAAAATACTAGATATCATGCAGAATTTAATATAGCTTAAATGGCTTGGGTTTCTTGGTTCTTTGGGTATTTATGATTTTCAGGGATATTCTTATTCTTTCTTAATACTTTTATTTATTTAATTTTTTTTATTGAATATCTTCAAATTAGTATTTAAAACAAATAAAACACTTATAACATATTCAAACTCAAAACACCTAGTTTAGGTGAGTGCTTTTTTGAGTACTCTTTTAATATTACATTTTTTTGGACAAATAATAATCTACTTCGTACTACTCAGACAAGAAAAATAAAAAATGGGATACTCCAGATATTTGAAAATGGTTCAAAAAATTGACTTAGCTAAAAAATTATATTGAAAAATAGTTTACCTTATTTGATCGAGGTGTCTATCAGTCAGAAAATCCAGAGATTTTGTAATGACAGGAATTCATAGTAAATTTTGCGGAAGTTGTCATGTAGTTTCTGCTTTATTAGATTACTTAAATTTTACTTGTGGTATAGCAAAAAAAAAATTCCCTCCTTTCCTCAAAATTTTAGTCCTTATGTTTCAAGGTACATAACGTTCGTAATTCAAAATAAACTTTATATGTATCTGTAGCTTTTCTCCGAAAATACTAGGAAATTTTTTGTTTAGTTTATTATTTCATTTTTGTCAAAATGGTGCTATTCTGAAATTTAAATTACCGAAATTGGTAGACACTATGTTATGTTTCACTGTAATATAAAATAAAATAAATCAGAATATTGCTTTAATATTCAACTGTTAATATTGAGGTAATTTTTTGGCTTGAAAGAAAATATTGTTAATTGTATATAATTATATGACCATATCCATGATAATTACATAAGACTGCTCTTCCTCGGTTTGCTATTGATAAATCTTTCTCCCTAGAGAGTGAAAGACATATAAACATATGTGTAAAAACAAATACTCTTTAAAATTGAAGGGAAGAAGGTTTATCAAAAGAAATTTCAGTGTCCCATTTTTTATATCTGAGTATATCTGTAAATATGTAATAAAGCATTGTTTTATGAACGGAAACAACAAATACTCATGAAGCACTTTCCCATGTTCATTACTAATATGTTGATTTAATTTCTATTTAACATTTTTACTGATTTTTTTTTTTTTAACATAAAGTTTTGCAGGTAATAATATAATAATGTGCATATCCTTTCGAGCATGAGAGTGAATATAAACATTATATAGTATAAATTACCAAAATAATTAATAGCATTATATTTAATTGTGTGTGTTTAAATATTAATTATTAACTGTTTAATTTTAATTTTTATATAATTTATTAATTCATGCATGTTATTATCCTTCTATTGATATATTGTTATGCTGACAGACGATTACATAAAAAAATATTAAATGTATATATTTAATTTTTGAAACATGTTTAGTTTTCAAATATCTTGAGCTTTAGTTTTGCATTATATATTTATTTAATATTTTTAAAATATTTATTGTTGTCATATTAAGTCTAGTCATTTGCCTAAAAAATCAATCTATAGTAGGGAGCAGGGTTGCTTAGTAATCCATTGTTCTCCTATTCTCCCGTACCTGGATTAGAATCCATCTATAACAAATAATTGTTTTTATATCAGCTCTGGGTTAATCATGTAATTCTCAAGAAGCTCATACATTCTCTATAAAGTTTGCACTCTTCTTGTAAAAAGTTGGAGATTTAAAACCACCAACGTTCTTAAGTCGGTGGATGGATATGCAACAAATTTTGTTTTAAAGATTTTATATGGGGATCAAGGTCCAGTTACATCATTCGGAACAAACTGGCAATTGTATTTTAAAGTCTAAAAATGTCAAGACAATTTAAATTTAGCTCAAGACAATTTAAATACAAAACATATTTGAAACTTTTGTTAACCTATCAAACTTGTTTCAATTAGTCGTCAGCATGACAATCCTTTTGTGACCAGTTCTAAACGTGTGTTGTGTTTGCAGTTAGGCAATCGAGGGCGAGTGCCCAGAACTCGTAGGCAATCCTTGGGCAATAGGTACAGTCTTTTTACCTTGTTTTTTTATCTTGTCATTCAATTTGAACGCAAGGTGATGTTCACAAAGTAAGATTATATTTTAATTTAAGCCAATATTAAATTGAAACTGCTGGGAAAAAAAATGTATAAAAAAAAAGAAGTAAATGTGTTATTTTTTTTTCTAGCAACATTTTGTTTATCCCTCATGTTACGTCAGTAAATATAAAGTTATGCAATCTTTCACAATCTCCTTTTTTTAATAAAATATATAAAGATCTAAAAAGGAATATCCGTCGTCATAGTATCTGATTTTATCAAATAAAATGTCTGTTTTTACATTTATTGTAAACTTATGATAAAATCTGATAAGTATTAGGATGAATCCAATATAAACAAGATTTTATATTTTCCCATAGTTTCCTGCTTCGGAGATTCGTGCGAGGTGTTCTGCCCACCTTAACCTCCCCTCTTTGATATTTGAAACTATATCAGGCTTGTTATAGATTTCTCTATTTATACACTTGTCCGTTCTCACATAGATTTGGAAAAGGATTTTCCTTTCAAAAGTAAGGAATTCTCTTTCATTTGCTTTTGCTGTAATCCCTGTCTCATAACCATGAGTAAAAACAGAGCAGATCACAGTTTTGTAGAGGAAGACCTTGGTTTGTTGCAAGATACATGTGAGTGGAGTTCATAATAACAACGATTTACTGAGATTTTGTTGTCGCACATCACTCGTGCACCTGGCTATGTGAAGTCCGACACTTGTTCAAATGTAAAAACTGAACCCACACAGGGTCAATAATAGTCTGAATTCCTGATTCTCTGGTAGCTTTTTCAATGTGGAAATTAAAGAGAGAGTACGCATGCCAAAGCATCTCCATACATCACTTCTGTTCCTGTCGAGGAAATCCCTTCCTCTTCTCTCCAACTTAAAGTAAAAATGACATTTTATTTTTTAAAACTGGATAATTCCAATTTGTTTTAAAATGGTAAAATAAAAATGAAATTTGACTTTGTCAACTAATGAAATTTAATGTCACTATTGGAGATCATCAATTTGTTATGGTATTTATATTTTTTTTTCAGCAGTTATTTAATTTAATATTTTTGATTTTCTTTTCTGAACATCATCTTGTGTCTTATATATAAATTTTAATCGCATGATACCATCTTGAGTTATGCATTTTCTAATATTTCACATTCCTTTTTTTTCTCTTTAATCCATTCAATTTTAGTTTCTGCTCATCTAAAATAAAATAAACAAATTTTTAGGGCTCTCATTAAAAATGTCTTTCATAATGCTTCTCACTAATAATCAGTTCATCTGTTTATAAATGCCATGTTATTCATTTTTTTAAAAAACCATTTATCATTTTAGTATAATTTTGTACATTTAATTAAAATATCATAAATAGAAAATGTAATGGATCATGTATGAACTTACTAATGCTTATGTATTTTATATTTTAATTTAATTATATATTTTTTTGTATAAAGGCACATCCTCACTATGCCTGGAAAAGCAGTCGGTTTCCCCCAAAACCACGCACACCAGGTTTAATAAGATTTTCAAATAACGAGAAATGAAAATTGTATTAAAGATATTATATAACGCTGAGTGCAAGTAAATTATTTGTTTCTTTGACAGTTTTCACAAAAATAATTTGTAATTTATTCTTTTAAAATTTTATTTCAAATAAACATTTCTGGAAGAGAAATTCCTTTTCTAGAAATAACATAAGATGTTGATTTTCCTTGGCAGCGGCTTCTATTCTACTCATTTGTACTTTTTTTTCTAAATTTCACTTTCCGTATTTGCTGTAAATAATTAAATAAATTTTCAAAAAAATAAATAATTATTACACAAAGTAACTAAATATATCCTCTTAAAACTAGACATTAATTTCCAAAATTCCTTATCATTGAAATCTTTCAGATTAATACTGCTTGGTTTTATTCTGTTTCTGAAATTTTACACCGGGCATATTGAGGATGTGACTTCATGTTTCTTCACACAGTCAGTGGGGGAAAAAAAACAGCCTATGGAATCGAATAACCCCTGAAGGCTGACTTAGTCAACTAATTTATGAATGTCATAAGTACTTCTATTAATGATTAGAATTAACTGCAAGTAGGCGGCATGTGGCTATGTAATATTGTAATGTGGTATATATATGTTTCGATCTGGCTTATAAAACTGGCGTAATAGTATGCAAAATAACGATTTTCTTTTAACTTTCAGCAAAACAAATCATATTGATTGGTTTTATTTTTTTTCATTTTGATATTATGCCTTTTTTATAATGCCAAAAACACACAGGATATATTTAATGTATATTCGTATGTATATTGCCTGAGGTTGATCAGTCTATTTCATACTCGGTAAGTCAGTGGAACGACTACATATTCCCTAAAGGGTCTTTCATGTTGGGTTCAGTACTTTGTAAAGAAGTACTATTTCAAGACCAATGGTTGTGCTAGGAGGTGATTAGGCAAATATCATGCTCAATCGTCATGTTTCTCAGTTAATTAAGAGTACTCACTTTATAGGGGCTGGGTGTGTCCTATGAAGATGTCCCCATCCCAGGATCGATCCACCACTGATATTACAGAATAAATAATTACCTACCACAGCCGGACTGGAACCTGAGAAATTGAGCATATGAAGTCAGTGCCTTATCCACTGTGCTACTCCACACCCCACATTGTCTTTTGATAATATGTTTAATAAAAAAAAAAAGCTTGTTTGGCCATTATGCCCAGGAGAACAGTGGAACTATTATAATTATTTCTTAATGTCTGAAAATAATTTTGATTAAAGTTAAAACATATAAGCTCAACTATTTAAAAACTTACAGAAAAAATATTATTATTGGCGCTTCTGCCTCAACGTCGTTCAGCCGTCTCATCCTAGGACATCCATGTCTTCAGGTACCTCCTGGCTTTCCATTCATTAATTTTTTTAAGAGGCGATTTTCCCCCACATGCTCCACATAGCCAAGTCACCTCAGCTTTACCGTTTTAATTTAGGCCACAATATCAGGCTGGTAATATTATGCTCTCCATTCATTGTTTTTTTATTTCCCATTCTCCTCCAGAGCAGACTTATACGTATATTGTAGAGAGAAAATATTGTTTACATCATGAATATGTTGAAAATAAAGAGTAACTTCTTGTTCGTTCTTCCCTCTATATGGCTACTTCAGGAAGTAAAAAAACAAAATTAGTGGTCCTCCAGAGTTCCGAACAGCTTGGTCCCAAGGTATGTAGATTGGAGCCATATCTGCCTCCGTACACCCTCCAAATGCTCGGAGTTCTGCAGAACATGTGGTTTGTTAGTTTTGGCGACATTCACACCGTACAGGGGACTGGGTCCTGTCTTGAATTACCTGAAGAGGTGTGATTTTTGGCGGTTATTTCCAGTTCTGAGGTAAAAAATGGCTAGTTCCCTTCTGGTTAGCTTGAAGCAATCCTCGAGGGGATTATGATTTGGGTGATTTGCTTTCCACTTCTGGCTTATGGCTGCTTTATTAATAGTTTTGCACTCCTCCAATCTAGTGATGCGGGAGCAATGTTCCTCCTTGTCAAAAAATAACTAATAAATATCATACGCCACCGTTAATGATTCAATTTTTCATGAGTAAAATGAAAAGTTTCCATTTTTTCAAAAAAAGAAACAATCTCAGGCAATTAAACATTTTTAATTTCTTTTCTATTTTTTAATAAATTTTGATTAATTTTATATTTTTTTTTTCAGTTGGACGCATGAGACGAATGGGTCATTTTTCTCGGTCCCATACTGCTGGATTTTTCCGCCACATTTGAATTCATATAGAATCAATGCCATCAGTGTTGTTAGCTTTTTTTTACCACATTATTACTGTGTGTTTTAATTTATATTTTGGTGTACTTTATTATTATTAATTTTTTTTTTCTATGGATTATTTACTATTATGTCCATTTTTCCTGAATATTTCTATGAAAAATTTAAACTTTTAGGGCACAGAGTAATATATAGAGCTAATTTAAAAATAATATGGGACGTCTCGCAATCCCGTAAGTTTTGACTGTTGTATTATTATAAGTTTTATTATGAAATCACAATGTCAAATCTTATAAGCTGGTTAATTATAACTGATCGCTTGTATACAGTTAATATATTTATATTGTTTGTTCATAAATATTGAAAAATATTGTAAAAAAAATATATAAATAAATAAATATGTATTCTAATGCTTTATATATATAAATATATTTAAAAAATGACATTAGGGTGGCCTACGAGAGAAAAATATTGAAGTGTTTTGTGTTCTAGATTTTCTATATTGATGTATATACTGAAAATTATATTATTTGTTGTATATTTGGATATTGTCCTCGATGGAACTTGACAAATGGAGTGTACCATCCGTTAAACAAAAAAATATATATAAAAAAAACCTTTGTGATTTATAATTTGTTACTAAATGTTCAACTTAACTATCCTACCAAAATAATGGTAAATATGAATTATAAATGGTACTTTTCTATTTTAGTTACCATTATGTTACCTTAACTACAAGTTTTCTATACTGTACTAAGCTCTGTATTTAACAGAATAGTTTAGTAGGAGTAAACAAAAGAAATTGTTAATATTCATGAAACCAATTTGTAAGTTACATGCAGCTATAAATTCTTCTTTTCCTATCACTTTCGTATTCTAGTGATAACAGTGGAGTTTAAAATTATGAAAAAAAAAATTTTTGTTTCAATATTGTCAAAAAAGTGTTGTTGTTTTTTTTAATTTTTTGTATAAATTATTATATACAGTAATACCATAAATATAATTTTTTTTTTGTTTTTATGTGAAATTAATCAAATACAAGATTTTTAAATGTAACATCCTTCTACATTTTTGTATTATTGGATGTCAAAGGATTACTGTATTCAATATATTTAATGATATTGAACCAAATCATTTATTTTTCCAGAAGAATTTGATAATAGATCCAAAAAAAAAAATTATTTCCATCTTTCCTTTGCTCTGAATAACAGGCATTAAGACTTAATACTGAAGTCACTATGGATAAAAAGTGTTATCGGTAAAACAAAGAAACCTAACTAAAATAGAACAGTACCTATGAAATTATTATTATTATTATTTAATTTGCGATTGTCATATGTTAATGGAGTGCTTTGCTTGTAGGGTGGCTATTCGCTTTGAGCATTACGTAGGTATTCCGTGTCGTCTTTCATTCTTCTAAGAAACCTTACATAAATTTGTAATTATTAAGATTAATTTTTCTGTTTTTGATTTTATTTTTACATCTCGTGGAGCATTTTCATTTTCTCCTGTAAATACCATTAACTTATCAATGAAATAAATAAAGTTAAGAAATTCATCAGAGCTTTTTTTTATTGTATCTTTTACAAACTTTATTTCATTTTTCATAATTAATTTTTTTTTAATGAAAAAACTTTCTAACTATATAAAATGCTCCAAAATCCACATCTGTGTTAATGATATCAACTAAAAGTTGGTTTATGTTTCACTGTTTTAAACTTTCTTTCTTGTAAGCACCATCTTTTTATTGTCTTATTTGTGAAGTTCTTGTACTCAGGATATTTAATAAATATTAAATATTATTGTATTTGTTTTATTAATTTCCTTTGAATGGATTTTATTGGACATATATTCAGAATAATTATAAATGTGTATACAGGGCATAATGGAAATGTCAGAAACTGTGTAATAGGCCTTAAATGCAGCGAAAAGTACATCTAAGGAGTAAATTTGAATTTTTATCATGAAGAATGTCATTTTGGTTTTTTCATTATACAGCGATACCTATCTTGTTAGGTTATTTCCCTCAAAAACAAGAATTAAATTTTCTGTATTTTAAGTTTAAGGTATAATCATTTTTTGAAATATTAAAATCATAGGCAGTATCATATTTTCATCATATATTTTATTTTATGTTGTTTTCTTTGTATCTACCACATTAAATGTCGTTAAATCTTCAGTCACATCTGGATAGTCTTCATAAAAATTAAAATTTACATATTAAAGTATTAACTTAAATATTTTAATAGATGTTGATCAAAAGTGTGATTGTCATAATCCTTATTTTAGTACTGTGGGCTTATAAACTTTGTATACAAACAATATTTACATTAAATAAAATTACATCAGAAACCATAGAATAAGAATAGATCAAATTCAGCTCTCATTAGTAGAATTTGTTTTACCTTATTTTATTTCATATCTGGCTTAAAATTTTGATACTGTTTATGTTATGTCATCAAGCTGCATGATTTGATTCAAATTGTTCAAGTAACATTAATAATACTTGTGTTTTGGGAATTGGTAGTTTTTGTACAAATAACTACAAGAATAAACTAAAGAGGTTCATAATAAAATGTACAATTTATTTTTAAATAGTTACATAAATAAAGAAATAGTGATTATGTGTGGAGTTTTTTTGGTGACTAGTTTGGACTAGGATTAAGATAAATGTAAGTACCGGTAATAGACACTTTTAAATGAAATTGTCAACATGAATGTGAACCACAGCTTTAGTTCTGACGATGGATCTTTGCAAATGGATTTAATAATCAGTAAAATTAGTCTTTTATTGATTTATTTTTTCTATTCAGTTAATTATTCAGGAGAAACTTATGAAATTTTGACAGTGAATACTGCCCCAGTATAGACACTCTGGTTTTTGAGGTTAATCGATTTTTTATATAATTAAAATAACCCAAAATAAATGCTGCACAGTTTCAAACTATGAAAAGATAAGCCGCAGATGAATGAATCTAAATTTCAAACTTATTTCCTAAATAAAAATGATAAGGAATCTACTCTGAAACAAATCCTAGCCTTGCTGCTTCATTGAAAAATCAACTACGTCTGCAATTGTGGCATGATATCACTTGAGGTTCAGGAATCACCCTCCTAAGTATTTAAAGTAAGTAACAAAAACACTTCCTTGTTGCAAATCTACTCATATTTACACTCTCTTTTGGGTATAATCTGTTAATGAGTTGAAAACTGTCTATTGGTACATTTGCCTTAGTTATAATTATGCACAATTGATTTAGGCTTTAATAAATGATTTTAATTTCATTTATTAATGTTAATCTTGTCAAATGATTTCAGTTGGACAAATTTCTGTTTAAAATGCACCAATTTCAACATTGGTCAACGTCAACATCAACATCAAATTGATTTAGGCTTTAATAAATGATTTTAATTTCATTTATTAATGCTAATCTTGTCAAATGATTTAAATTGGACAAATTGCTGTTTAAAATGCACCAATTTCAACATGATGCACATAATTGACATTTAATTTCAACATGATGCACACAATTGACATTTAATTCCTAAGCATCACAACATTTTTGAAAAATAGAGAATCATTTTTGTAATTCTACAAGGTAAGCATTTTCCCTTCCCTTACCTGTACTATTTTTTAAAAGGAAAAAATAACAAATAAAAAAAGGAAATGCCAAAAAATATACATTTATTATTTCCATAATTTGTGTTTAAGATGAATGAAAAATATGGAAACCTTAATTTTTGAGTGTATGTGTGTTGTTAAAGGACTTGAAAATAAATTTCCTGAAAATAGTACATCCAGTGTGCCTCACAAAGGTATTAAAGTACAGAAAGACAAAAAAATCAGCACCTACTTTCATTAAACAAAATAAATAAATAACTATGTTCTTGTTTAAAATTGTTTTCATAATACATATTATTTCCACAGTTTCATAAGTCAATAACTAATTGTTTAATTCCTTAATCACACTCAGAAATAAATTTAATTAAAAACGTAAATTTTCACTCATATTTTTAAAACACAGAATATATTATTGATAAACAAAGCAGAATTTACAATTATATATCAAATATCTATCACTAGATAGCAGCACCTATCGAGAAAACGAAAAAAAAATATTTTAATAATATAGTTTTAATAAACGCCGCAAGAGGACAGCACTATACAGACAGGGATTCCGAAGAGAAATCCAGCTCGAAAAATTTTATTTTGTATTAGGACAGTGGGAGGTCAAAGGAGCTAACTACCAGGAGGGGCAGCAGCTAACAGGAGCTCAACTATCAGGAGACAGGAGCTATGGTCCGATGGTGCTGCTGCCTCGTGGCAGCTGCTAGAAGCTCAAGTGCACGTGCACTTAACCCTACCTACTAGTTAAGCTCCTTTGACCTCCCACTATCCTAATACAAAATAAAAATTTCGAGCTGGATTCCTCCTCGGAATCCTTGTCTGTATAGTGCTGGCATCTTGCGCTAATAATTACAACTATTATTTTTTTTCAGCTTTCTCGATAGGTGCTGCTATCTTTAGGCATTGATTTCAACTATTATTTTTAAATACCTGGATTATCAATTATTTTCGGTATTATTTATTGTTTTAACGATCAGTGGATAACAATGGATAATTTTTCAAACATAATAATTTATGCATATTCGAAATTATTCATTAATTAGTATTATAAATGTTTTCTTATTAATTTAATAAATTGTGCAGATAAAATGTAAAATAATTAACTTGTGATATTTTGTTAAACCAAATCAATTTCATCTTTTTAAAATGATAAAAATAAATCATTTTATATCAATAAATATTATATTGTGTTGTGCTTTTATACATTGTGAATTAAACACTATCTTGATTGAGTTATTCTTTCCAATAAATATTTAGTTTGTTGTTTTTTATTTTTCAATTACATAAATCAAATGCAATCCTATAAAAAAAAATACCTTTTTTTCACATTGAAATGATTGCAATTAGTACATTTATTTATTATCTGAATTTGCCTCTACCCGATAGGGTCATTGGCAATTCTTTCTTCACTTCAGTTTCCTATATTCTATTATAGAATCCGTTTTTTTTTTCAAAAAGCTCATCAGAACTTCTACATCTTTCTCAGTATCTTTTAATATTTCCTGAAGAGTACTGTGTAGGTTGAGGTTTAACTTGTGGCTGCATAGTATTCACAATCTAAGAGTATGTGGTTCACGGTTCTAGGGAAACCGTATAAATTAGTATAAAATTGAATAATATATAATTTATTACTCCATATTGAACAAAACTAATTTTTTCCTTCCTTTAATGTCAAATCTATATAAATTCACACATTACATAATGAAAATGAACGGTGTAAGACAGTGGTTTTAACTTTTTTTATGGTGACTCACAGACAAAATTATGGTAAGAGAAAATTCATAATTCTACAGAAAATAACTTTTAATTCACTACATAATAATATTTATGAGTTAATGAATAATTCACGAAGTACATTGGTCAGAGAACAAATGGTAAAACATCCAAATAAGTAAATGTAATGTATTATGAGAGGAAGAAATTAATTTACACTCTAAATAATATGCTAAAACGAACCATTGGCTTTATCTTTGCCAAAAATGGTCCAACTTTGATAATTTATTTTTCATTTTGAAGGGAATTTGGAAACCTTTTTAATTATAGTGAGTTTAATCTAGTATAAATTGTATATATTTTTAATTACGCGTTCATAATATTTCTTTAAGTAAAGCTTTATTGATTTCACCATGTTTATTTTCCTCTTTCTACATCGACTAAGTTTTGACTATGATGCCATTTTCAAGCCATCTGTAAGACCTGATTCACAATTAGTTTAAAGCAAAACTACGTTTAACATGATATGATAGTGATGTTAGTCAACTCTTTAAAACAAACATTGTATAAATTATACTCTAATGGGGTTGAGTCAATAAGTTAATTTAAAAATCAATTTAATTAAAATAAAAGATAGAATAAGAATATTCTATAAATAAAATTACATATATTAAGGCAATGTCAAATAGATATCAGCTCTTAATGAATTTTATTATTCTTACTTAATTTAATAATACTCCTTATGTTCAGACCATAATTGAACTATAGTCTCTATGGGAGTGTGTAGTTGGGAGGTTACAAATTATCATTTCTACTGTGTACAATTGCTTCAACTATTAAATATATTGTTTAATTAAAATGTCCTAACAATATAGTTAATAAAATGTCATGAATCTATTGTATATATTAACAGATACGTGCAATCTGTTGACAGCTTGGATGCGTAAATTTACATGTAGGCTCAAGTTAAATACAAACCAAGGTTGTTTTCCCAAATAGTTTTTAAATATTAATTTTACCATGGAAACAAGAACTGAAACATGAGTAATAATAAAGGATATTGTGATTGTGAGACCTTTTAATAAATTTAGTATTTCATATTTTTGTTTAGATATAGCTTCAATTGGACACAGATCAAGTTTCTTACCACTTCTAAGTATGAATCTATGAGAAGTAGCAAACAGGTGACCTTCTCATAGCATCTGACTTGAAGGCGGTGTGATACAATGTTGCTCGTATTATATAATTTTGTAAAGAAATGTAAACTAATAAGATTAATAATGAGGATTATTTTGAATCTTAAGAAACTTAAATCAAACTAACATTTTGCACCATTAATTTTTTTATAAACAAATACAGAATTATCAAAGCAATAAAGAGTGTTTTCTTTTAGATATAGAGGAAAGAGATGGTCCGTGGTGGCGGTAATAAATAGACTAAAATAGTGACAAAACTATTTACTTTTAAGCCAACGTTTCGACCAGACTTTGCAGGTTTTCTTCAGGGCTAGAACAGACAAGATACAAAAGAATATAGAAAATTGTGGAAGTTACATAATATTTAGATAAAAATTATAAACAGTAAGTACATTGAAATATTAAGAACAATAAGCTATACAAACAGAGAAAGCTAAGTAACAAGATCTTAAACTGAAGTAAATAGATGGTAACAATTGTTGTAGTATAATATATAATATAATATATGCAATTATGAATATACTCCTACAGATCTCAAGGAGAGATTGGAAAAAAAGGAAAAATAATATGAAATAATGGACATAAAGGGATTTGAAGAAAGAAAAGAATAAAAATAGAGACTTACAGGTGTATTCAACAAGGAGTTTCAAATAAAACTGAGAAAATTTGCGATGGTGGAGTACCCTTGAGGAATTTTGCTGATCTGATTGGGGTTGAATAAGTTTATTTACCTTGTTTATAATTTTTATTTAAATATTATGTAACTTCCACAATTTTCTATATCCTTTTGTATCTTTTCCATTCTAGCCCTGAAGAAGACCTGCAAAGTCGGGTCGAAACGTTGGCTTAAATATAAAAATAAAATAGTTTTGCCACTATTTTAGTCTATTTATGACCGCCTCCGCGGACCATCTCCTTCCTCTATAATACAACGGTCAACTATTAAGTATTCAATTTAAGAGATATAGATAAACAACTTAACAGAGGCTCTTATAGAATAATTTATTTTTTTTTATTGAAATAACAATCAACTTACAAATTAGTGTACATTATTGAAAGAGTTCAAAACAAATCAAAATGTTAAAAAATAGTCAATAAGATAAATATTTCAGGATTGGAAAAGTAATCTTGCATCCTAAACTCCACCCAGAAGACTCTTTAACTTATTTGATTATACCTTAATTAAAATAATATTTTACAGTTTTTTTTTTCAAGAAGAAATGCTGAATTGTATAAAAAGCAATACAAGATATATACATAATTATCATAATGATAAAACAATACTAAATTGGTTAGTTATTCTTATTTTCAAATTGATTAGGAAATTTGTTTTAATATCAAGTAGATGAACAAAAAGTATCTTCCATTATATTATTAATAATGGCATCATCTTAAAATAACAGTACAAAAGTCAGTAATATCGAATACAGTAGTACAAAAATCATTTTTTTCACTCTCATTTGGATTTCTTCCCTTTCAACTTGGGAAAAGTTTCATTGTGATATAGCCCAAATGGAGAAGAGATAGCGATGAATGCAATGAGAAGATGCTTGTGCTGACTACTGTTGAACACTGATAAACACTATAAAAGAAAAAAATATACACATTAAATAGGCATAAAGTTATATTATGTTCACAATTAAATATTATTATTCACAATAAAATAAATAAATAAATGAATGCTATTTCAGTTTTTTTCAAAAACAGCCTTCATTTTCTCACAAAAAGGTTCCAGATAACATTTCTCGGACTTCAGATTCGATCTAAGCACACTTGTAAATATAAAATCAGGAAAAATTTCTCAAGAGAGTGAAAAAAATGTATGTTTTTTTAGAACAGTGTAATTAATGTTTATAATACAATAAATATTAATCAATAGCAATTACAAGCAGTACAATATATCACAGTACAATATTTTTTATGGATTCTTTGATATACATATCGTAAGATGGGCTATTTTGGGACTGGGTATCTAACTTTGGAATAGCAGGTAAAATTTAGTTTGTGGTGAGTCCTTGGTGGATAAGCTATGTTTAATCAGTCTATGTATAACTTATTATGTATTCCATTTGTTCATCTTATGTATCATCCATCACTATTTACTGTTTTTAACTATTATCTGTTTTTATAATATTATATCGCTGATCTTATACAATTTTTCAGCCCTGATGCTTGGGTTGAAACGTTGGCAACAGTAAAAATCTTAAAGTGACTACATACTGACTATTTATCACCCTTGATAAATTTTAAGAAAAATAATAAAACAAACATAAAATTATAATAATCAACAAATAAATAATGTATGTACATAATTACAGATGTGAAAAACAAAAAACTAAGTTAAAGTTTTTATCCTTTTACAAATTTTAATTTAAGACCATAAACATCTACTAATAATTATTTGACAATCAAATAGAAAGGAAGAGATTGAATAGATGGGGATGAAAGATCTTTTTACATTTTCTCTGTAAATAAAGACATTTTTAATCAATAATAAGGAAGTTATTTTCTGTACCCGATTTAAACAAAGCTTTTAAATATGTAAATCAATAGTGTTCTGGATCAAAAATCTGATACATGAAAATATAGATGAAATACCGTAAAACAGAGAAATATATACACTTGGTAGTTGAATTACTCCAAAACTAAAATAATCTTTCAATGATTTAAGCAAAAACTAATGCAATGATAAGACTTGGGAATGACTTATCTATGAAATAACGTGTTAGTTCTATATGAAACAGAAATTGTACCTGGAAGTTCAAAACAAAGGAATGATTCTAATTTTAAAATAATGTCGCTGGGTCAAGGTGGTAAGTTCTTCAGTTTGACAGTACTATTAAAATGAATAAACAAAACACAATTACATAGATGAAAATAATATGTTTGAAGTATATAAAAAACATTCAAATGAGACAATAATAATAATACAGAATAATTATAATTAGAAGTTAATACAATAACATTGGGTTGTCTGGAAAATAAAGCAGGAATTTAGTTTAACAAGAAAAAAGAAAAATTTACAACTATTTCATTTAATCAAAATAGTCTCCACTACTATCAATACATTTCTGCCAACGTGTTGGCAACTTTTCCATTGCCTCGGAATAGAATTTCCCATCTTTAGAATTGCTTAACTCCAAAAATGCATTTTCTGATTCTCTTTGTCCATTAAATTTTTTGTCACGTAATGGCCCATGTGTCTATAAAAATGATAATCGGTAGGCAATAAGTCAGCAGAGTAGGGCAGATGTGGCAGTTCATCCAGGCTCCCAACAGTTTTTGTGATGTTACACCTGAGACATGTGGCCCGGCATTGTCATGCAACAAAATGGGCCCCTTTTGATTGACCAAAGATGGCTTCATTATTGCCAATTTCTGATGCATTGGATTAATTGGTTACAATATGATTCGGCATTGATAGTTTCTCCAGGATTTAAGAAGCTGTAGCGTATCAAACCAAATTAAGTCTACCAAACCGTAACCATCACCTTTTTTAGATGATTTGGGGCTTCAGAAAATGTTCAGCTGCATCTCACGGTCCAGAACATCTACTGTTATCATAAAGTATCCACTTTTCATCACAAGTAATAATTCTGAACAGATAAGGGTTGTTTTTGTTTTGGCAAAGAAGTGTAGCACAAACTTTATAATGCTGGTTTTTCTGGCAGTCAATTAACGTGTGTGGAACCCAACTTCCAAGCGTTTTTAATTTTCCAATCGTTTGCTATTGTCTAGATGAACCATCAAAAATTGAGGAACTACCAAAAAAGAACAAAAAGGCGGGCAACGGCGTACTACCAACAATAGTCCCTCTCATAATAGATATTATTAGTTTGAAAAGTAATAGTAATTATTACATAATTGATTAGTAATAAATATCATATATTTGTAATTAAATCACTGCAGACGATGTTTTATCAATAGTAATCAGTAAATCCCCACTTTAATTAAAAAATACAAATCAATTTTTCAATGAGTGGATTTTAATATTTACCTGATGTTAAAATTTGTTCGATTCTTTAATTTATTTAATATTGTTTGGATTTAGGTATATTTGAATTTTGCAGTAAAATATTGTTGGTGGAATAAATAAATAAATAATCTTGTTACTTCAACCTTAAAAAAATAATTTACTATTGCATTGTTTAAATTTTAAACAATATTTCTTATAATTTTAATTGAAAGAAACATAGGAAATAAAACGTATCAACGTGACTGTTATCATCAAAACAATTCTCTGATATGATAACATAACCTAGAACCACCAACAGCTCCACTGCTAGGAGCAGCTTAGATATGACGCCATACCTAGACTGCCGAGCAGCGCCAGCGAAATAAGTTCCTTTCTATTCTACTAAATCAGTGGTCAACCACAAGCAGTTGCGGTCGTGGACCGCGCCAGCGAAATAATACCTCAAGCCTGCAGAATATCAAGAGAGGAAGTCCTTCCACGACCTTCTTTGTCTTCAAGACTGAAGTCTCCCACCTGAAATATTTTGAACCACCATTGAACAGTGCACACTCGCCCCAGACTAGATTGATGTTACTGGCCGTCTGGGTCCCATTCCGGCCAAGTTTAGACTCGTAAAACAAAATTATACAAAAATCACGAATTGAGATCTTAATAAAGACTGGATTATTTCTAAGCAGGGAAATGTTACAGAGGTAAAACAACAAAATCATTTGGAAGAGAATTAATAAGTATTGACATTCATACAAATGAATAATATTAAAGTATTTTAAAGAAAACTCAAAATTCTGCATTATTTTCCGGACAACTCAATATTATTTAAAATCAATGAAATAATAATTAGTAAAATTATTAAAAACAGTAGGCTTAATGAGAAGGGGCGGATGGAGATGCGTCTCTGGGACCCAGTCTAGCCTACAAAAGGTTTAATTTTTTAATTTCTAAATTTAAAATTCAATAAAATATAGAGAAAATTACACATCATCTTATTTTTATTACATAAATTATTAAGTTAATTTTCAATTTCAAGTTTCAAGTATATTTTTACAAATTTCGACCTTATTTATCGATACATAATGTAAGTGGATGAAAATGATACAAACACTTTATATATCAAATTTAGTTACATTAAGTGCACAATGTTCTGATTTCACAGAGTGAAAACTCATCAAAGTACACGTTTATTTAATTTTATGGAATCTTACTTTGTCAGTTTATGTAATAAATTCGTAATATGTTATATAATATATTCAGATAGTATTTTTGTTGCATACATTATAAAAGGCTTGGTTAGGCTTTAGTCTAACGGCACCAACAGCCAGAGCTCTCCATCTTCTAACTCTCAGTTACTGCATGTCGTCCAACTATGACTTATTTTTATCACGAATCTATCACAGATAGGTTTTAGTGATAAATCTCATATTTGATGTTGGGTCCAGAAAAATTATTATAGCTGTTTCTCTCCATAGCTCTGAAAACAGAAATACTAAATATTATACAATATCTACAAGATACAACAAGATACAAGTAATATAAAAGAAGATACAAAATTAAATAATAATAGAGGTATATAATGATAATAAAAACAATGCAGTGTTAGGACTATAAAAAATTGGTGTAAGATAATAAACAAAATTGTCATTTAACAGAAAAAGAGATTACTAAAAGTATAATAAAATTTATTATCACTAGATGATTTCAGTTTTAAGAGGATAAACATAGATGAATAAACCATATAAGTTATAAAGAATTGTAGAAAAATAAATAACACATTGATAATAACAAAATTTCAGCATGGAAGATAATGTCACCATTTCCTTTTATCACAAGAAAATTCTTTGAGATAGTTTATACTTTAATTTTCATTTGATAAGCTACAGTTATTTCTCTGTTCAGTAACTGAACTGTGTTTTTAATATTTACAAAGTCATTTGAAAGTAAAAATCAAGTTTCACTCATATTTTGAACCTAGTAAATTTGCCACAGAATATTGAGCTGAATATTGAGCCTTCCATCAAAATCAAATTGCATATTCATCTTGATATTTACATTCAGTAAATAAAGATATTTCCAGCATATTATGAATCTGTTTGAGCTGGAAGATTTGACTTCCTACAAAAATTGTCGAGTAAGGAGATGGTCAATCAATACACTTTGTATACCTGTCGCTTTACACTGTGAAGCAACAGACCCAACACCATTAAAGTATTCTTTGTACATATCTCCTCTGATAGATGTAGTCTTTAAAGAACTGTGACAAGTTTCTGTCGGTTTTAGGTTGTGTACAACAAAGCCTTCTTTCCTCCAAGACCCAATTATTGTTTCCCCAGTTAGTGGTTCTTCAGTACCCACAGATCCTCTTGGCATGTAGTTATTCACTTGCTTTTTCCATATGTAAGTATGTAAATAACAACACCCTAGTACAATTTTCCGAACTTTGATAGGAGATAAGTGAGTAGCTTTATGAAATATCCTGAATCTGGATCAAGAATCCCAAATGCGTTTTCAGCGACGCCTCTGGCTCTACTACAACGGTAGTTAAATATTCGTCCTTGAATATGGAAAGTTTATTGACTTTGTATGGTTTAATTAGATTTTCACTTAATGTGAAGGCGTCATCAGCAACAAAAATGAACAGCATTTTTATGTGATAATCAGGTAATAGGATAAGGAAGTTCAAGTATGCCTCCAAACAACTTTTTCCCAAATTTTGTATTGGCAATAACACCACCATCAGAAACATGACTATTCGTGCCACAGTCCGCCATAATAAATTCATAATTGGCATTTATTACAGCCATCAGTACTACACTAAAGTCCCTTTTATAGTTGTAATAAAATGAACCTGAGTTGACAGGCTTGATATATGTTTGCCATCAATAGCGCCTACAAAATTAACTAAGTTTCATCCCGTACTGAAATCTTCAGAAACAGTCTTCCATTCTTCAGGGCACTGGAACATCTGAAATAATAACAATTTGGTTATACAATATAAAATTAACATATTTTTGTAACATGTTTTGTTATTTATTTTTACAGGAGTTTGAGCAGAGATAACCAAATAATGTAAACAAAATTTACCCCACTTCTTTTGCTGAAAATAGGTAACCTTGAAAAAGAAGAAACAGTGAAAATAAAAATGATGCAACTAATGAATTAATAAAATTGCCCTGTGCACGGCTACAACACCCACCATTTTTTAAGCTCCCTCTGGGTTTAAATTCAACTTGGAATGAAGCCTAATGAAGATACTTGTTTACAACAAATTATAATAAAAAGTTAACTGTAACGATACTTAGATTAAAAATTTATTTTTCTATATTTATACATAATGAAAGAAATAAAAATGAAATCAATTTTGCAAATTTCCTGAATGAAATAAAACTTGATACAAAATAAAAGAAAAAAAAACTTTTTATGAATGAGAATAAAGATGAATAAAAAAACAATATAAATAAAAACAGCTCTGAAACATGAATAAAATAATATATAACTGTCCCACTATAACATATTACTGTAATTTTCACTCAATGATAAAGAAAAGAAAAAACAAACAAATATATTCCTTACACTGCTAAGTGTTATACAATACAATTTTCTGCTGGTTTTATTTCCAAATTGCTTTGTACTGTTGTCTTCCTGATTTTGTCCTGAAGAAATTTCTTCCTGAATCCTCTTTCCAGAGCCATCCATCTTTCCACTGTAGAGAGCATCTGAAATTATCATTAATCAGTATTATTTTAATTGTCGCTATATAAATTAATAGGTATTCTACCCATTCATAGTTGTTGCTTGAGTGATTAACAAAATTCTAATTTTATTAATGAATCAAACAAAAACTCTTTGGAGTAAAGGAAATGACATCTTAAACATTTATGGGTGATAAATAATCATGAAAACGTTTCTAAGGTTTTTGAAGTGAAAACATCTTTAGGCGCTTTTTGTACCTGTTTTGTGGAGAGTGAATTAAACTGAGCTGTCAGATCTGTTATGTGTAATGCTCGAGTAAATTCAGCTGGAATCGACTAATTGAAGTGCTTTTACATATAGATTAAAATGTCTCAAAAACTAAAAATCAGACCTGCATACTGATAGGGAGGGAAATTTTTATCATTGCATCCTCTTTGTAATGAGCTATTATTTATAATGTTTATTTCATATTATTAACCTCGCCTTGTTTTATGTTTTCACTTCTATCGTGTGATCTAAAGCGCACAGCTTAGTTTTTTTAATTAGTGCTGATGTATCAACCCAAGCATGTGTCTCATCATCAGGGCTGAAAATTGTTAAATACAATCAGAAATATGTATCATCCATCACTACTTTTCATTATTCACCATTATCCTTCTTATATTATATCTCTGATTGTATTTTTTTTAATTCAAAAATTCATTATTGAGGTATATTATATTACAATCTGTCACATCTAAGGACAATAGTAATAGTGATAGAAAAGTAGCTCATCCACACTATGAACAATAAATAAATAGCAAAATAATAATACTAAAAGGAAATGTTGTAAATAACCTGTTGAAAGTTAGTTGTAAATAATTTGTTTTGGCGGGAATTGGCGAATAGCCTTCCGTTTATATGGGGGACTAGGTTATTTACACTCGTGATTATTAAAACAAATCCCCGGCACTGGATATAGACTTCTTTGAGGGTGTTTAACTGTTGTTGGGAATTCGGGAATCTAATACCTTTTGTGACACTGAGTGAGAAGAAACAATAAGAATATATATATGAAATGTGGGACTTAGTAAACACACTTTGAATGAATTGACTCACCTGGTTTATTATTCTTCAATTGTGAGGCCTATAGGACAACTAAATAAAATGACTTTTCACTCCTGTATAATAAAACAATTTATTTTACAACTGTAATAAATGAATGTATAAATGTCTTATAACTGTAGGCTTGATTTCTTAGTCTTCAATGTAGTATCTCTCTCTTCTGACAACCTCCTTTCTTCCTGTCCAGGCCTAGCGTCCTCTTGCCTCCGTGTCCTAGCCTCAAGTGTCTCTTCAGCTGTTGCTAGCTACCTACTCTCCTTTTTCTAGTGTCCTCCTTTTTCTTCAGATTATTTGTCGATATGAGACTTTTCCATGAATAACTTCTCCACTGCATAATTGAGTACAATTCACAGTGCAACCTCACATTCCTATATATTCCTTGACATTCACACAATGTCCCATAAAGGAGTAAATACAGGGGGCTGTCTACTACAATGTATATAAACTAAAATAATCAAAATAATTATTTAAATACACACATGCTTTTATACAATATTTACAAAATTCATTCACTCAAGATCTCCAAGCCCACTCTAGAAGATCCCAGCACCTCTCACTCTGCTGTATTACTGGCATCAAGAAAAATTAATTGTATTGTATTTTCAGCCCTAATGATGACCCACATGGTTGGGTTGAACATTGGCACAAATAAAAAATCTTGAAAATGACTGCATCATGACTATTTATCATCGATGATATATAGAACAGTCGACTTCCTTCAATAATTCCTTAAACATTTAGGGTGAACGCACCAGTTATGGACAGAGGGTCCAGTGATGGACAGCTTGGACCTTAATTGTAAATAATAAGCTCCTTTGTTGATTTAAAGGTTCCAGTTTTTTCTATAATGAAGAACAATACCCTGCATTGACAACTGTATGAACAAAGTTCCCAAAACAAAATTTTGAAATGTCAATCATTGTTGTTTCTACAGTGCTCTTGAGATCAATTTTTCATACCTTCCTAATAACAGTTTTGCTAAGAGTAAGTTGAACATTTACCTTATCTTATCTTTATAGTTAAATAAAGATTTTAGAATTTTTCTGAGGTATGTCAATTACTGGTAACGACCCCCTGTCCATTACTAGAATAATTAAATTTCGTGGTGTCCATCACTTGTGCAAAAAGACATTTTTTTAAAATGGAGATTATCCCTGCATAACTGAATATTTTTTCTATATTAAAATATTAAAGAGCAAAAGGAGGCTCTAGAAATTCTAAATATCCAAAAGAGAAGTTTATAATTATAATTATTACGGTGGCATAAGACAAAAATTTCCTTATAATAAGTATTATTTTAAGTATGTATTATAAAATATCATTATATTATAGTAAGTAATATATATTATAATATATATAATATTATCGGTCTAGAAGAGTTTGTTTTATACACGAGGGTTGCCAGAAGGGGATTACATGGCACAAATTACCTCATTAACATTTTTGGGGGTGAAAATTTTTACAGGGCTTTGTATTTTTGAGTGGAACTCATTTTATTAAAATATTACAACTCGAAATTAGAAAAATTATATAATAGCTGCATAAACTTTTTTAACTATTATTGATATGGATGAAACTGAGACTTTAAACAGGTAATGAAGACTTGCGTAGCTATCTCCAGATGCTAAAAATCTTAAAGTAACTGCAGTTCTGTATTTTGTGGGAATGGCTTTCCTAAAATAGTTGTCTTATTTTGAAATCATAGGCAGTACAGAACAATAGCTCAAAATCACTTAAGGACATATGACAGAAGTAATGGAATTGTTCTGATGGCTCATGTAAAAGCTCATTTAATTTTTCTTCCATTGATTCTCTGCAACAAAAAACAAAAGGATATATTAATAATGACATAAGTGCAATGGACTGCAAATATACATAGATCCCTTCCTCCACAACTGATTCACAAGCTTACTAATTATAAATCAATAGGCTAAAAATTAAACATTGACAAGATCAAAATATAATTAATTAATTCACTAGGAAATATGGCCAATTTTACACCTTGGAAAGTATACATAATTCCAAAACTAGAATCAGTTCTTTTTTCGAGTAATGGTAAACCGAATAATGATATATTTATTTTTCTTAATGGAAAAAAAAATCTTTATTGGTAATACAAGTAAATTAGGTAATATTTATGCTTCCTATAAAAAAGGGTTCAGAAATTGATGGTTTAATTAATGTAAATAAATAAGTGTATATATATATATATATATATATATAGAGAGAGAGAGAGAGAGAGAGAGAAAAAATAGTCTAATTTTTTTTATAAAGATTACAGAGGATACTTTAGAATATAAATATTTCTTGTGTAAAATGAATCAATCTGAAGAATGTTTTTCCATACTAAACAAAGTTTTAATAATAATAAATATCAGACAAGTGCCAGCACATTCAAGTCTAGTCAGCACATAACTGGAGAGTGCGGAGCGCTAGCTGGTACAGAATACCTCAAGAGGCATGATGATGTTGCAAACATTTATCACCAGGCAATTGGTCTAAAAAGAAAGTTAGTGAATGATTTGATTCCTTTTTATAAATACAATCCTAAAGAACTTATCCAGAAAGAAGAAATAAAATTGAACTGGAATCGATCTTTCATAAAAGACCATACTGTGATCCATAACAGACCTGATATTTTCATATTTTTAATAGTAATATGTCATGTATCAAATAGTAACAACTGAGATAATAAATATTGCTGTGCCAAATGATGGGAACAGATGGGAAATAACTCAGCCTGCGCCAGAAAAAATTTGGAAATATATAACTCTTGCAGTCAAATTAAAAGATTTGTACAGACTGAACAAAGTGACAGTAAGGACTTTAGTGATCTCCAGCAATGGGCTGATTCCAAAATGCACTGTAGAAGCTACCGAGAAGTTGGGCCTCTCAACAGCTATGATAAATGAAGCCCAGAAAGCTGTGTTGCTGAACACAGAATTGTAAGGACTGAACTACGAGAATCGTAAGGAGCTTTCTAAATATCCAATAGATTATTTAACTAAAAAAATTGATATGAACAGGTTGAAATTGATTGTTCTCTACTCCATGAGAACTCTCTTTTTTTTAAGTGTTATAAAATAAAAAATAAAATAAGAATAACATACTTGCAAATATGTTTCCCAATTTAAATCTTTGCAAAAATAATAACAGAAATCGTGTAACTCTCTGAATATAATCTCATGATTATAAATTGACTGTTGAAAACTATTTATGAATAAAATATTAATAAATTGTTTAAAATCTTGTAAATTAACTTTTGATAGGTATAATTAAATGACTAACTTTTGAAAAATAGGTATTTCACTGTTTCTCAGCATTTTAAAATTTGTTAAGTATATGATCGAAGAAAATTGATATTAATGGTTACCTGGAACGATTTTGATGAATTTTTATCATTCATTATCTTCTTTGACGCGTTTTAGGCCTTTTTAAATTTTCTCTTACCATTTGCTGTTTTATTTTATAATTCTAGTAAGTTAAGGCAAATGCGATAATTAAAGCAGCTTTCAAGTCCGCCATGTTTCTTTCTTTGGGAAAAGTTTGCGTGTTTACTGTTTTATTTGTTCCACAAATGTCTAAATCCACCATTAAATAATTTAATCACAAAATCGAAAGAAAAGGTGGCCTACAAAAATATTTGATCATTTGACCTATATAATCTCGTTATTGTGACATTTTGGGATGGTTTTAAAATGGATTTTTCACCATCACAATACTTCACACTATTTTATAAATAGGTAAGTGAAAATAAAAATTTAATTGAATTGATTTCATTTGATTTTAATAGAAGATTTTAACAAAAAAATTTTTTTGTTACAAAAAACGATCACTGTTCTGAGAATCATCTATACGTAAATGTTTTCTCCATTTCTCGAACCGAATCGTTTAGAAACTTAACATCACGCTTATTTCTAAGGAAAAGCAATTGAATGCAAACTATGGAAATGACGAACGGTTGACAACGTCATAGCAGTGTGAAATCGGCAGAGCTAATGATATTAGAGTCAGGCAAGGTGCAAGATATTAGGAACGCTCATATATAAAAATAATGTCCCAGATTATGTCAAGGTATTTGTAAGTCATATCCTGTCAATAATGGTTGTCAAACGTAATAAATGGATATTTGTTGTTTTGCTCAAAACGTTATAGACCATGGTACAAATCACTTTTTATCAAATTATTAACATCCGGCTGAAACTTCGTAAATAGTTTCATCTCACCCTAACCTACAAATATTTTATTTATGAAAATTCTCGGAATTGGGACGTTTTCAATATGGAGGTAGACAAAATTTCTCTATTTAATTAGATTTTAGTTAGTTAGACCCCCGGAATTGGGTTGTTTTCAATATAATTAGGTACTAAAATCTCGTAAATACCCATTTGCTTTCTATTTAAATCGTAAGATAACTTGAGCACAAAGTCTAGTAAAAAGGTGGCCTTCAAAAATATTGAGCCATTTGGCCTATATAACCTCGTTATTTTAACGATTTGGGATTGTAGGTCACGCCAAACTGCTCAATATGTTTGAAGTTTTTAGTACCTAATTATATTGAAAACACCCTCGTAACAAACCATTTGCTTTCCACTTGTATCGTAAGATAACTTGAGCACAAAGTCGAGACAAAAGGTATCCTTCAAAAATATTGAGCAGTTTGGCGTGACCTACAATCCCAAATCGCC